GCTGCTGCTGCTGCTGCTGCTGCTGCTGCTGCTGCTGCTGCTGCTGCTGCTGCTGCTGCTACTGCTACTGCTGCTGCTGCTTAGAGGGGACTCGCGCTGCTGGTTCCTGGGGTGTCCGCAGGGCTTAGCAAGTCTGGGGACTCTGCTGCAGCAGGAGCAGCAGCAGCACCAGCAACTCCAAGAGCAGCAGCAGCAACAGGAACAGCAGCAGCAGCAGCAGCAGCAGCAAAATCAGCCAGTGTTGCTGCCGAACCCTTAGTAGACCCCTCAGCAGCTCTTGCTGCCTTTTGGGAAGAAGATGAGGCATTTGGCTCAGGGGGCTGTGCGCAGTGGAAGCAGGTAACCATGGCTAGGGTTTAGGGTTTAGGGTTTAGGGTTTGGGGTTTAGGGTTTAGGGTTTGGGGTTTAGGGTTTAGGGTTTAGGGTTTAGAGGTTTTGGGCCTGTTTGCTTGCGCAGCACGCACTTGAAGAGTTTGGGGAAGCTGCAGGAGGCAGCAGCAGGAGCAGCAGCAGCGGAACGCTTTCGCGCAGCACCAGCAGCAGCAACAGCAGCAGCAGCAGCAGCAGCAGCAGCAGCAGCTTCGCGCAAAGCGCCAAATCTTCCAAAGAGAATATAAAGCTGCTGGAGAAGCAGCTGCAAATATTAGCAGCACTTTTGGAAGAAGTGACACAAGAGGGCCCCTGTGTTGAGGGGGGCCCCCCTGAAACAGCAGCAGCAGCAGTGACAGCAGCAGCAGCAGCAACAGCAGCGGCAGCAACGGCAGCAGCAGCAGCTGAAACTGCAGATTTAAGCGCAGCAGAAGCTGTAGAAGCAGCGAGACAAAGTGCAGAAGCGGCACAAGCTACGGAAAGAGCAGCAACTGCAGCAACTGCAGCAGCAGCAGCAGCAGCAGACGCTGTGGTCGCAGAGGATATTGGTGCTGCTGCTGCTGCTGCCGCTGCTGCAACAGACTCTTTGCGCAACAGCAGCAGCAAACCTAACTAGGGAACGCGCCAAGCAGGGCCCCTTAGGAGGCCCCTAGTGGGCCCCCGAAGGGCCCCCGTAGGGGGCCCCCCAAGGGGGCTCCCCAAGGGGGGCCCTCTAGGGGGCCCCTATGGGGCCCCCCAAGGGGGCCCCTAAGGGGCCCCTTAAGGGGGTCCCTAAGGGGCCCCTTTAAGGGGCCCCTTAGGGGCCCTAAGGGCCCTTAGGGGGCCCTTAAGGGGGCGCCTAAGGGGGGCCCCTTAGGGGCTGCTTAGGGGTTTTTGTAGGGGGTTTGCACTAAAGGGCCCCGTCTAGGGGGCCCCCAAGGGGGCCCCCATGCGTGGGGGCCCCTCCTAGGGTTCAGTTAGTTGTATAATGCAAAATTCAAATAAAATAGTGTCGAGGTGATGTGCTCGGGAAGAAGTTGAAGGGCCGGCTGGGGTGTACGTACACCCGACGCCCCACAAAAGGCAGTGCTGCGTTGCTGCAGCATCGCATGCAGCAGCAGTGAGGTGTACGTACACCGGAAACAAAAAGCGTCGGGGCAGGCCCTCTGGAGTGTCTCTACGGCACAACGACCCGCACGGGAAGCACTTCAAGTCACTTTATTTATTTTGCTGCTGCTGCTGCAGCCCAAGCGCAGCAGCAGAAGCAGCATCTAGTTGTCCCGGAACTGTGGAGCCCGGCTAGCTAGCTCCTAGGCCAGCCTCTCAACTAGTCAGCCAAACACCTAGCCCGTCGGCTAGCCAGCCAGGCCGGCCAGCCAGCTTGCTGGCGAAGCAGCTAGCCATCTGAGCCAGATAAGGGTCAAACAAGCCACCTCCGTGGCTAGCTAGCTAGCTAGCTAGCTAGCTAGCCAGCCAGCTAGATGACCTCCCGGAGCAGCAGCACAGCACCCGCCAGGACAAGTACAACCCTATGTGTCAATTTATCCATACACAGTACATGCGCATGCATATACACAAAATATATATAGAATGCATTATACACAATAAGAGAATTGATTTAACTAAAGAGGATACATTCGCGAGCAGCAGCAGCAGCAGCAGCAGCTGCTGCAGCTCGGGCGTTGGGCTGGCGCTCAAGCTAGCTTTTGCGAAGAAGGGCGGAGCAGCAGCAGGTCTTTTTGCACAACTATTACAAATGAAAGCCAGAGCAGGGAAAAGGAAGAAAAGAAAGACAATAAAATGCATTTGCATGCAGCGGCCCAAAGGCGCCACTTGGATCTGCATTACTCCTATTGTGGCAGTGCGCAGCCACGCGCTGCAGCCCCACAGCCAAATGGTCAGCAGCAGCAACGCAGCAGCAACGCAGCAGCACGCAGCAGCAGCGCAGCCGCACGCGGCAGCAGCGCAGCAGCAGCGCAGCAGCAGCGCAGCAACACGCAGCACACATACGGGGAGCTCCCGCTCCCCTTTGGACGCACTTGCTACCTGCAGCAGGCAAAATGCTGCTGTGGGTGGCTGCCGACTGCAGCAGCAGCAGCAGCAGCAGCTCATCCCAGAGTAAGACAAAAATACAAATATGAAAGCCTGCTTTCTTCTTGGCCAGCGAGGATCTGCTGCAGCTCCCTTGAGGTGTCTAGACACTGCAGCGGCTCCACCCTTCTCGGCGTTGCTGCGGCTTCCCGCCTCCAGGCCGTCGGCCCTAGGGTTTAGGGTTTAGGGTTTAGGGTTAGGCGGCCCTCCCTCGCCTGGACCACGAAGCCTGCTGAGCACTAGAACTAGCTGTGGCCTCCGCGGCTGGGAGGCTGCTGCCCATGGCCTTGTCGAGGTGGTGGTGGGGAGTATCTAGGGTTTAGGGTTTAGGGTTTGGGTCCCGCGCCGGCTTCGTGGCCGCCGCCAGCCTCGCCCCAGCCCGGAGCCGAAAGCCCAAACCCTAAACCCTAAACCCTCGGGTGCGGCGCCGGGCGGCGCGGCGTGCGCGGGGGCGGGGTCGCGGGGCGTGCGTGGGGCGGCGGCGGGAACCGCGGAATTAGGGTTTAGGGTTTCGAGCTAGGGTTTGCGTCAGTGCCACCAGGCGAATTCGGTGCAGTCCTTGGTGAAGACGGAGTAGACCTTCCTGCGGAACATGCGGAAGCCGCTCTCCGCGCAGAACAGCAAAAACTTGAGCTTGTAAGTTTCCAAATAAGCGTTGCGGCGGCCCTGCTTGAGCTGCTGCAGCGCGTTGCTGAGCCGCTGCAGCAACGCAGCATTTGCATGCGCCTTCTCCGTCTTGGGCGGGAGCATCCCGTGGGGCGGCGGCGCGTGCGGCGTGTGCGCAGTGAGCCGCGTCCACCACTCGCCTTCGGGCCGCTGGCCCAGCAAATTGAAAACACTAACAATTGCGTCAAAGATTAAAAAGCGAAGTCCGAGTTGTTCAACTCTTCTGCTGCCTTTCAGCTTCCCCAGGTCCGACTGGTGGTGCCGCAGCAGGCAGGCCACCAGCCCCTCGGCCACGCCGGTCAGCCACAGCATTTCCTGCGAAGTCAGAAACAGCTTCGACAGCAGCTGGTGGGCCTGCCGCAGCAGCGGCGCGGCCTGCGGGGCTTGTTCAACTCTTGAAAGAGCTCTATTTGGATCAAAATATCTTAAGATTCTTGTTTTGTCTACTAGCGGGAGTCTGCAGAAGGGGTGGGCGTAGACTCCGGCGAAGAGGGGGGGGGCTTTCACTTGCGGCTCGGGCTCGCCGTCGCCGCCCTCTTCGCTGCACGACGGGCCCTCTTCTGCTGCTTCCGCGGCTTCCGCTGCTGCTGCTGCTGCTGCTGCTGCTGCTGCTGCGGACGGGGAGGAGGGGGGCGCGGGAGCGCTCGACGGGCCCGGCAGCGCTATCACGTCGTCGTCCGCCTCGTTGCTCTCTTCGCCTTCCGTGTGCCTCTCCGACGAGTCGTCTTCCGCCTCTGCTGCTGCTGCTGCTGCTGCTGCTTCCGCCGCTGCTGCTGCTGCCTCCGCCTCCGCCGCTGCTGCTGCTGCCTCCGCCTCCGCCGCTGCTGCTGCTGCTGCTTCCTCCAACTCGTCCTCCGAGTCCTCCACAATCTCCAGCGCGCCTTCCTCGTCGTCGCTGTCCTCGTCGCCCGCGCCAGCAGCAACGAGCTCCGCAGCCAGACGCTCCTCGTCCACTGCTGCTGCTGCTGCTGCTGCTTCTGCTGCTGCTTCTGCTGCTGCTTCTGCTGCTGCTACGTCCAGGTAGCGAATCCCAGACTCCTCCTCCGGCTTCTTCATTGAAAGGTCCAGGGCCTCTGGTGTAGGCAGTTGCCTTTCTCTTGCTCCCTGCGCTTGTGCTGCTGCTTGCATCAGTGCAATAGCAGCAGCTGCTGCTGCTCCGGGGGGCCCCCGGGGCCTCTCCGCGGCGCCGCCGCCCTCTTCTTCCTCTTTTACTGCTGCTGCTGCTTCTGCTGCTTCTTCTGCTGCTCCTTCTGCTGCTCCTCCCTCTGCTGCTTCCGGCTTCTCCTCTGCCGGACTGGAGCCCCCGTAGGCTTCTCGCCAAGTAATTTTCGGAGCTCCATCTTCTCCATTCGACAGCAAAGTCGACAGCAGCGGGAACCTTCCTGCTGTTCCGTCCAGGCCATGGTCCACCGGCCTTTGAGTAGCAGCAGCAGCAGCAGGCATCAGCTCCAGCGGCATCACCGGCATCACCGGCCTCTGCCCAGGGAAGCCAGCAGGCAAGATGGGAACTGGCCGCCCGTCGCGCGAGCGCTTTCGCTGCTGCTGCTGCTGCTGCTGCTGCTGCTGCTGCGGCAGCGGCAGCGGCAGCGGCAGCGGCAGCGGCGCCTGCGGTTGTGGCTGCGGCTGCTGCTGCGGCTGCTGCGGCCGCGTCTGCTGCAGCTGCAGCTGCAGCTGCAGCTGCTGCTGCTGCAGCAGCGCCGGAGGAGGGACTATGGGCGGCCCCTGCGGCGGCCGCACCACCGTTTGACGCCGGGAAGAGCCCGGCTGCTGCTGCTGCTGCTGCTGCGGCGGCAGCAGCGGCGGCGGAGGCATCTGCAGCAGCGAAGAGGGCCCCGGTATCGGGTGCGGCGGCATTGGCATGCCGTGGGCCATCCGCGGCACGGGCCGCAGCGGCTGCGGCCTGGGCAGCGGCAGCTGCTGCTGCTGCTGCTGCTGCTGCTGCGGGGGCTTCACAGGCTGGGGAAACGGGACAGGACCTCCAAGTATTGATTCGGGAAGCATCGGAGGGGGCAGATGCAGCGGCTGCTGCGCAGGCGACCAGGGAGCCGACAGCGCGCTAGAGGAGCGCATGGCCTTAAGCTGCTGCACCTGCTGCAGCTGCAGCTGCTGCAGCTGCTGCAGCTGCAGCTGCTGCAGCTGCTGCAGATGCATGTTCTGCAAATCCTGGAGTTGAGACAGGTACTGCTCAGCGGAATTCATTGCTGACTGGCTCCTCAACTGCTGCATCAGCTGCTGCTGCTGCTGCTGCTGTTGCTGCAGGAGCTGCTGCAGCTGCTGCAGCTGAAGCTGCTGCAGCTGCTGCAGCTGCATGAGCTGCGCTATGGCTGCTTGATCCTTCGCCTGCTGCATCTGCTGCAGCGCGATGTTCTGTCTATGCCGCTGCTGCTGCAGCGTGTCCCGATCGGGGCGCCGTTCCCGTGAACTCGCGCACTGCTGCTGCTGCTGCCCCGACTCTGACGGCCGCTGCCCACCTGCTGCTGCTGCTGCTGCATCTCTGGCCCTCCGGGCCTCATCCCGCTGCTTCTCATGCACTCGCTGCGCCTCCATGATCTCCGGGGGAGGTGGCCCTCTCTGCATCCGCTGCATCTGCTGCATCTGCTGCAGCTGCTGCATCTGCTGCAGCTGCTGCAGGTGCTGCAGGTGCTGCAGCTGCTGCATGTGCTGCAGGCCGGGTTCTCTGAGCCCCATGGGAAACCCGGGAGGGGGGACCCCAAGCCGAACTTGCCCCATCTGCATTTGCTGCATCTGCTGCAGCTGCTGCTGCTGCTGCTGCAGCGAAGCCATCTGCTGCGAAACCGCTTCATGCTGCAGCCGCATTGTTTGCCTGACAGTGTTCTGCTTCTGCAGCCTCCGCACCCGCTGCACATGCTCCAGGCTGTCCAACTCCTCCAGCAAATCATTCCCATCATCTTGCTGCTCCGTCTTGGCTCTTCGCTCCCCTGCTGCTGCTGTTTGCTGCTGCTGCGGAGCAGCAGCAGAAGTTCCCTGCTGCAGCCACCACTCAACAGAAGTAGCTCCTCGAGAGGCCCGCGTTCTGCTGGCCTCGCCGCTGCCGCTCCAGTCAGCTGAGCTGCTGCTGTGTCTGCTGCTGCTGCTGCCGCTCCAGCTGCGCACGCTGCTCGTGCTGCTGACGCTTCTGTGGCTTCCGCTGCTTCTATGGCCGTTGCCGTCGGGGCCATCTCCTGCTGCTGCTGCTGCTGCTGCTGCTGTTCCATCATCGACTTTGGCCATCTTCCGCGGCGGCTCCTCTGCTGCAGCAGCAGCTTCTGCTGCTGCAGCAAGCGCGTGCAGCTTCGTTTCCTCTGCTGAAGTGCCTGGGGGAGCAGCAAAAGAGGTGCTGAGTGCAGCTTCAGCCAGCTTCCGCAGCAGGTCTTCGGAGGGCCTCTCGGGGGCCCCCGAGGGGGCCCCCGAGGGGGCCCCCGGGGGGCCCACCTCGGGGGCCCCCTTGGGGGCCTCCTGCCTGGCCTCCTGGGGGGCCTCCTCTGGGGCCCCCCCGGGGCTCCCCCCGGGGGCCCCTGCAGGGGGCCCCTCCGGGGGCCCCTCGGGGGGCCCTTCCGGGGGCCCCTCGGGGGCCTCGGACTCTTCGTCTGCTGCTTCCGGCTGCACCCCACAAGCCTCTTTTGCTTCTTCTGCTGCTAAGTAGCGAAGGCCAACAGCAAGTCTGCGGCTTCTGTTGAGGGCGAGGCTGCAAAAGGCCACCAGCAGCACAACTGCAGCAGCAGCAGCAACTGTCAGCAAAAGAGTAGATGCTGTGGAGGACCTGTGGAGGGGCCTCGGCCTGAAACTCCTAACGAAGTAGCGGTGGTTTTCTCCTGCTGCTGCTGCTGCTGCTGCTGCTGCTCCTGCTTCGGTGTCGGGGGATACCGCGGCTGCGTGCGCTGCAGCAGCAGCTGCTGCTGCTGCTCCGTCGGCCAGCAGCAAAGCGCCTCCTGCAGCAGCAGCTGCTGCGCTCCCGAGGAAGGCGCTCGAGAGAGACATTTGGAGAGGCAAGGAAAGGAAAATCTGAATTCCGTCTGAAGACAAAACAGAAAAAAAGATCAAAAATATTAAAAAGAAGCAGCAAAAGGGGAGCAGCAGCAGCAGCAGCAGCTCGGGTGCAGCAAAAAGGGAAGAAAGAAGACAAGAAGCAAAAAGAAAAAACGAAAAAACGAAGGAAACAAAAGAAGACAAGGGCACAGCGGCGCTGCAGCAGCAGCAGCAGCAAGACCACCGAGACGGGCACGCAGCAGAGGAGACAGGGCGCAGCAGCAGCAGCAGCAGCAGCAGCAAGCAGCAGCAAACTGCTGCAGAGACTAAAAGGCTGAAAGGGGAAGCAGCAGGAGGCCTGCAGACGAAATGGGTAAAAGGGCTGGGCAGGGTCACTTCAGCAAACCTTACTTGGGGGTTTGGGGTTTGGGAAGGGAAAGTGAGGGTTTAGGGTTTAGGGTTTTGTCGGTTTGAGCGTCTGAGGGACGCGTAAAGTTCCGAAGACGTTTTCCTCTTGTCTTCTCGCGAAACCATTGACGAGCCGCTGGGCTCTGCTGCTGCTGCTGCTCCTCCGCTGCTGCTCTCTGCTGCTGCCTCTGCCTAATTTGCTGCTGCTTCCTTCACTTGTTTATTTACTGTCTAAGTCGCTGGCAGCAGCAGCGCGCTGTCCTGAGTCTGCTGAGTCCAGTTGCCTTCGAGTGAAGCAATCACCCGGATCAGCAGCAGCAGCAGCACGAGCGGCAGCTGCAGCGGCAGCAGAGGCCTGAGATGGACACTGCTGAGCAGCCAAAGTAAAGAAAGAGGAAAGACGGAAAGAAGGCTGTTTCGAAGTGCCCCGGAGCAGCAGGGGAAAGACGTGTTGCTGCTGCTGGTGCTGTTGTTGCTGCTGCAGTTGGCTCTGCTGCCGCTGCTGCTCCAACCAGGACTCGCTCCCCAGGTGGCACTCACAACTTAGGGGTCAGTCCAGAATACAACAAAGAAGGAACTCGGGGAAATGTTTGCTTTTTGATTAACTTTACAAAGTCAAATCAATAGCAAGGAGAGGAGAGCCTGCCTCCTTTGCAGCGTCGAGTCAGAACGCTGTGGGCTCCCCCTGTGCTCGGCTGCCTCTGTGGGGGTTTTACTTGAAGCCGTAAAACAATTAAAATATATTGGAAAAATATGTTAAGTTGCTTTGATTCAAATTCGAAGAAATGTGACGATGGGGGCTTCCAAGGTTGCTCAGTCCCTGGGATCAGCGTGGCGAGCCGCCTCACGTGCCATGGCGGGGAGGATTCTCCGTCCCTCAGCCGGAGCCATTTGGAATTATTATTTTATTGAATTTAATCTGGAACTAACCATTTAATTCATTAATATGACCTTTCTTTGTCCTGGCATTTGCCGAGCCTAGCGTTGCCAGCGTCGATTCCGTGCACCCCTCTCCCACAGCACTCGCGAGCGTGCACAGGAAGCCGATGAGTTTCAATGAAAAACAACCATTGGTAACTAAACTATTTATGATTCCAGAAAGAACTTGTTGAAAAGTTGCGGTTTTTCATGTTTTGAAGGCAGTGGACTAGTTCAATGATCAGTGCGCGCACCGCTGCCCCACGCATTCCGTTCCTGTGCTCTGGACTCTGCTGCCTTATTTCCAGCGGCAGACACGCAGGAAAGGGCATTAACAGCAACAAGAACCAAATGCCTTTTTAATTGATGTGTCTTCAGCTACTTAAACGCAGAGTTCCCACCAGAAAAGTGCTCAGACTCGGGTGCGCGTCGCCTCTCCAGCAGCAATTCAGTTTCGATGCTGCCGCTAAAGCTGGAATTTGAAGCAGCTGCAGAGATGCTGCAGCGAATGCTTTAACAGAACCTTTCTGCTGCTGCTGCAGTTAACAGCACAGAGAGGCACATTCTACCTCTGCGTCTCGTCGTCCACCAGCAAACAAAATGGCATAAAAGTGTAATCCAGCTTTAGTGCCAGTTAACTGCAAAGAATCCGGATACAGTCAAATCCATACGGAAGAAAACCCAAATTTATCTTCAAAAAGCCAAAAGATTGGCTAAAATATGCAGCTATTCACTCACGGAAGGTTTCTCATCCCCAGAAAAGTAGGAAGGGCGTCTCGGTAAATTCTTTGCTATTTTTCTCACTTTGTTGGATATTATGAAGCCAATATTATTCATAAAGTAGAAATAAGCTAAATATGTGACTAGAAACCCAAAGAGGATGCAAGTGGCTTCCCAGTAGAACGGAAACTGTGTGCCAGAAGCTGAGCCAAAACATACTGCGCGCAAAGATACTGTAGCTGTGGTGACAGTAAATATAGTGACAAGAAAATGCGATGCCAGCAGCTGATTTAGTTGCTTCTGAGCCGTAAAGCGTTGCTAAGATGTTGTCCAGGCTCTTCCCATATGCAAAAATCTCCCTGAAGGTCGAAGATTTGCTCTAAGTCCTCTGATGTTCACATATGTCTGTGCGCCATGAGTCCACACTTTGAATGAAAACTCGAATATTGAACCGCTTTTACCATAGATTCGGCTATTAAAGAGAAAAAGGAGGAAATTATCTTCAAAGGGCACACGGCCTATGCAGCGGTCCACTTGCTGCCCTGATCAGCTGCCACTAAATGAAGCGGTATAAAGGAAAAATCCTCCTGTGCAAAACAAAGAAAAAAGAACTAAAGAGTTTGTTGAAACGCGTCAATCTTCAGACACGGCGAGTCGCTGTTGTGAGCACCAGCAGGCTGAGTTGAGCCCATCTGCCTGTTACCACATCAAAGCAGCTTCACCAGAAGTCAATATGACGGACAGTGTTTCTCACCAACTGCGTTACGTGAAAAGATAACCGAGGATTTCGTGAGGCTTTCTCTTTTGCCAGGGAAAAGTATTCGCCAACTTCGAAAAACTTGCATGTATTTTGAATCTAGAGAGTTGCTTTGAAGTAAGTTTACGCTGCGCGTTGGACCCAGCCAGTACAGATAAATAAAGACTTCAGATGGGCCCCAAGGATCGCACGCCCCTGCAATGATCCCCCTTGCCAAGAATACTGACAACCATATCCGCCTTCTGGAAGTTTCTTCGTTCAGTTATCCCCAGCCAAAGCTGAGCCCCACGACAGCAAAAAATCCCCAGGTTTTAGCTGGTGCTTGAGAAAATGGAGGGGTATAACTGGGCATCTTACTAACAAGGCCCATTAAAAGCCAACAAAAACTGCATCAGATGAGTAAACAAACTGCCACGTAACTCCTCCACAACCTCAAAATTCATTGGCAATTAACACTGGATTGGCTGGTGCAGTGCGTGGCTGTACACTCTTAGCCCAGCAGAAATCCACAGCAGTGCCACGAGCAGGTACAAACATGATCGACAAAATACCTCGCAGATTTCGCCATCACACTCGACACAAACCTCTTTTCCTTCTTCATAATTTAGCTTTTTTGTGCACTGTTATTTAATTCGCAACATCACCCAATCTCGAAGCCCTATACTGACCAGTTAATTTGACCAAATACGCCAAGTGCTGGACCGTTGAGCACACTTAATACAGGCCGTTTGTAAAGGTGATTGTACTGTTTTGAGTTACAAAGTTTTTGTGGAAAGGCTGTTGGGGAAACGGCTCAAGACTAGGAATCAGGAAAGGGTCACAAAGTGTGCCTAGTAAGCAGACTCCGAGCGTTTGCAGGCAAAACTAATCAATAAAAAGACATTTCTTGCGAGTTTGGACGAAGTGAGTGGCCAAAGCTGCGGGCTACGTTCGAAAATGCAACGGTAGTTGTGTTCCGTCCGAAGAACAGCGAGATTTTTCTGGCCCTTCAGAAGAAGACTGTGCTTAACAAGGCTAGTCGATTTATTGCAATTACAGAAAAATTAACGCCAAAAGTCGCTGCAAAGGAAAGAGCGATACCGACGGCAAGGCCATAAGAAGTTGTTAACGAGACCCAAGTGAATCTGCTGCAGGTTGCACCGAAACAAGGGCTGCGTGCTGTGACCTAAATAGAGCCACTGGAAATGTTTTTGCCTGGTTTATTTGAAGCAACGCCTGTGTGTAGTAGGGAGGCAAACACGATCGATGGACAGGTCAGCACCCCTACCAATGATGGCAACGGCCTCCACCACGGAGCGCCTGTGCAGCAGCTTTTACAGCATTTACTACTACTCCTATAATGCATTAAACATTTTTGCTACTCTGCTTTTGACCTGCCATTTGTAAAGGCGCTTCACCTGTTGGACATTGGTTCTAAATAGACACAAGTAAGCATATGAAAAGTGAATGTAACTGTGGACTTTGCAAGACATGCTTTTCCTCTAGATTTCGGGACACTGCCTTTCTTAATTCTATGTTGGGAAATCTGCAGGCAGGTGATATGCACTTAAACAACTAGTCGAGGGGATGCCTGTTGCTGCCAAAGTCTCGTTGAAGGCACTGAGAGCCCTAGCAGCACGAGGAATCATCAACGTGTTTGCCTCATGTTAGGAATATGAGAAGTGCCCCATGCTTTGTAAAGATTATAGCTGGGTAGTTCCTTCTTTTGTGCTTCTCTGTAAACTGCAGAAATTCAAGAGTTCATAAAACCACGGAATGCCAACCCTGGGAATCATTACCCCGATGAGGTCACCTGAGCATGGCAGCCAGAGAGGAGGAAAAGGACCAACTCAATAGCTGTATCTCGTCAAAAGCGTATTTAAAAGGCCCTCTTTAAACAGATGCAGGTGACAAAATGGTAGGGAAAGTCCAAGAACAGCAGCAGGACCAGGCGATCACGAGCAGCAGCAACAGCACCAACAGCGGCAGCAGCAGCGAATGACACCGTGAGAAAGCACAGATTCCAGGCGTTTTGCTTCAGCAGAAAAGTGCAACAAAGTCAGCAGCAAGGTTAGTTTTTGTGCATTTACTTCGGGCTTTTGGGGACGCCTTAGAACACCACCGGCCTCTTTGGGGCCCCTCTGCCGACACGGAGCAGCAGCAGCAGCAGCAGGAATTGCAGCAGCAGGGGCGTCTCTTCGATTCTCACCTCTCCGCAACGTTCCGTGCCCAAACTTTCTTCTTTAGAAGGCGGTCAAGCCTCTCTTTCTACCCTCCAGAACTCAACTCTTCCCCCCGGAACTCAACTCGCCGCCGCTGCCTCCGTTCCCATGACGGGGGCCCTCGAGGCCCCAAACCTACCCCAACGTGGCGCCGCAGGAGCACGGGGAGCAGCAGGAGCTGCTGCTCCTGCCTCCGAAGCGGCAGCAAACTCAAAGCGGCGGCGAGAGCAGCAGCAGCAGCAGGATGTGGGCCCCCCATGATGGCGATGTAATTCCTCTGTCTCCCCAGGGGCCCCCGCAGTTGCCCGAGGCGCTTCTCTGCATATCGAATCTGGGGGACTCTGATGAAGTTGATGCCGCAGTATATTCAGCTCTTGAGGCCCTTGAGGCGGCCTACACAAACCGAGACAAACAATGCTTCATGTGCAGCAGCAGCAGCAACAGCCGCAGCAGCAGCAGCAGCACGAGCAGCAGCAGCAGCACGAGCAGCAGGGACAATTTGGCGTTGCCCCGGGAGGTCTACGTACGGCGCCTGCTGCTGGCCTTTGCCCGCGACGTAGAAGGCAACTGGCTGCAGCAGCTGGAGTGGTTTCTGGTGAAATGTGCTTCTTGCTGCTGCTGCTACTTGGGGGCTCAAGACGATCTGCTGCGCTCCTTCTCCTGCTACAGCAAAGACCAAACTGCAGCACTTTATCTCTACAGAGAATGGCTAGCCTTCGACCTTTGCCGCCTTATGCGCTGTCTATACACTCTAAGCAGCAGCAGCAGCTCAGCAGCAGCTGCTTCATCCTCTGCAGCTGCTGCTGCTGCACTAGTTGATCTAGGTTTGCCTGTGGATGCGGCGGGGAACGAGGAGCGCCTTTGTTCCTATAGCAGTAGCAGCAGCAGCGGCAGCAGCAGCAGCAGCAGCAGCAGCAGGTGCAGCAGCAACACAATCGCTGAAACCACAGTAGTGCAGCTGCTGATGGCTGCCAGCCGCCTTTTGAGTGCTCGAACGGAAACGCCAGCAAATGTGCTGCTGTGCTTCTTGTCGGAGCGCATCTCAGTGCCGCTGCTGCTGCAGTTGCTGCTGCTGCCGCCTTCCCAGCAGCAGCAGCAGCCGCTGCTGCAGCAGCAGTCGGGCAGCATATCACTGGGGACAAACAAAGCGCGCAGAAGGCCACGGCTTCCTGCATGGATTCCCGATGGAGGGTCTAGGGAGGACTTGCTGCTGCTTCAGCAGCAAACTAGAGGCCTGCACGCGCTGCTGCAGCAACTCCTGTTGCTGCAGCAACAGCAGCAACAGAAGATTCAGAGGCAGCAGACGCATGACTTCTTCGCAGAGACTGACCAGCAGCAAGAAGCGAAGGAATCGCAGGCGCTTACTGAGCAGCAGCAACAACAGCAGCAACAGCTACTGCAGCTGCTACTTCAACAGCCACACGCGGCAGACCTTAGCTTATCTTCACTGTGTCTGCTGCTGCCACTGCTGCCTGACCCGCTGCAGTGCATGTTTGCTGCTGCTGCGCTCTCCCAGCAGCTGCCAGAGCTGCTGCTGCCGCAGCTGCTGTCACTACAGACACATTCCCTCCTCTGCCTCCGCGCAATTTGCTGCGGCGCACTCCATTCAATAGCTCTCACACATTTGCCTTTGTTGCAGCAGCAGCTGCAGCTGGCAGCCTGCGCTGCTGCTGCTGCGGGTGACTGGAGCAGCAGCAGCAGCAGCAGCTGCAGGAACGAGGAGGCCCTCGGGAGCCCCAGCGGGCTGCTGCGAATCGTCGATTTTTGGCTGAAGGCTCTTGCGTCTTCTTGCTGCAGTTTAGTGCGCTGCAGCAGCAGCAGCAGCAGCAGCTTGGAGCAAAACCAGCAGCAGCAGCATCCGATGCCGACGGCCAAGGGGCGGCTGCTGCTGGATGCATCACCGGAAAAACTTTCTGCCTTTTCCCAGCTCGTGGGGGCTCTTCACAGCTTGTTTGTAGTTTTGCTGCAGCAGCCGCCTCCGGCTGTGCTGAAGGTGCTGCAGCAGCAGCAAGAGATACCGGAAGTGCTGCAGCAGCGCGTTTCCGCAAGTCACCAGCAGCGGCCGCCCTGGCAACGCTGTGCTGCAGTTGCTGCTACAGTGTTGGCCTCCTGCAGCAGCAGCAGCATTAGCGATTCTGGCAGTGGCAGCAAAGCCACGCAGAGCAGCAAGAGGGACTCGCACGATGAAGGAGCAGCAGCAAAAGCAGTGGCAGCAAAGCCACGCAGAGCAGCAAGAGGGATTCGCACGATGAAGACGGGAGATCATGGTGAGAGCGCCAAGGCCTACAGCTGCAGCAGCAGCAGCAGCAGCAGCAGCAGCAACAGCAGTATGGCAGTGGATGCCTCTCAGGTGTACGCACACCTCCTTGGGCTGCCTGCTGACGCAGAAGTGCTGCCGCTGCTGGGGGGAGAAGCAACTCGTCCGCTGTCGCTGTCGCTGCTGCAGTCTCTCTCCTTGCCTGTGGGGGCTTTGCTGCTGCTGCTTAAGCAGCGACTTGTTAGCCTCAGAAGCAGTAGCAAGGGAAGCAGCAACAGCAGCAGGAGCAGCAGCAGCGAAAGTGGCAATATGCCTGAGCCCCTACGCGGAGATAAGCATGACCCAGGTGCAGCGCAGCAAAATCAGATGACAGGTACGCCGCAGCTGGAGGCGCAGCAGCAGCAGCAGCAAGGGCACACGCAGCAGCAACAGCAGCAGCAGCAGCAAGAGCACGAGCAGCAGCAACAGAAGCAGGATGAGCAGCAAGAAGATGCAGTAGACGATGATTACTTGCAGTGGCTCGACGACCCCGAGAGCCTTGGGCCCCTTCCTGCTGCTGCGCCTCTGCAGCAACAAGGAACAGCAGCAGCAGCAGCAGCAGCCGCGGAAGGTGAAACAGCTGCGGCGGTGCCCGTAGAGAAGGGAACGCTGGTGGGCGAGACTATTCCGCAGGCACAGATGGCTGAACAAGAACAGCAGCAGGCCGAGCTACGGCAGCAGCAGAGGCGGGAGCAAGAGCAGCAGCAGCAGGAAACTTTGATTCACTTTGCAAGCTGCTGCAATGAAGCGCTGCAGCTTGTTCGGAAGGTTCTGGCTTGCCCTCCGCTAAGGGCAGTCTGCCGCTGCAACAGCACAGGCAATGGCAGCAACAGCAGCAGCAGGAAGAGCAGCACAGTTGGTGATGGTCCTGGTGGCTTTGCTGCTGCTGCTTCAGGCGCGCGTCCTCCCCAGAGCCCCTCACCCTGCGTTGCTTCGTATGCTGCTGCTGCAGAAACATCACCTGCTGCTGCAGTTTGCTGCGGCACCTGTTCTGCGCGCGCCTTCAGAGGTGACTGGCACAAGCTGCTTCGGCGCTGGCAACGGATGGGGGAGGGTCTTGTTGCTGTTTTGCGCCCTGCTGTTGCTGCAGATGAAGGGGCAGACGGGCCTCCATTAGTGCTATTACTGAACAGCAGCAGCAGCAGCAGCAGCGACAATGCCGGCGGCAGCGGCGCTGGGGACCCCGCCTTGCAGGCGAGGCTTCGCTTTTGTTTGCTGACACAGCTGCACCTCGCTGAGGCAGCAGCAGCCGCGGCGGCGGCAGCAGCAGCAGCAGAAGAGGCTGAGAATGACAGGGAATCTGGGGGCCCCAGCTGTAGCCCGCGCACCCCGAGTACCCTCCGAGGGGCTCTCGAGGGCCTCGAGGACGCAGCAGGTAGGGAAGTTATTGTGGAGGTGCACGACTTGGACTCAGAGGAAGGTGCAGCACTGGATCCAGCAGCAGGGCCCGCTGCTGCTGCAGCTGCAACTGCAGCAGCTGACTATTCAGCAGCAGAGTCCGCAGCAGCAGCAACTGTGGTACCTGCTGCGGAAGCTAGCACCGGCTCCTGCCCTTCTTGGGTATTCCAGCTGGAGGAAACCAAAGAGGATGCAGAGCTGCTCTCGCTCTTTACTGAAGAAGTGCAGCAGCAGCAACTGCAGCAGGCAGACGCTGTAAATACGGCGGGAACTGCAGCAGCTGTCCACAGCCAGTGGATAGCGCAGCAACTGCAGCAACAGCAGCAGCAGCGGCAGGAACTGCAGCAACTGGAGCAACTGCAACAGCCGGTGGAAACAAGCGACACTGTAGCGCTCTCGGAGGAGGATATATGGGATGCAGCTGCAGCAGCGGACGCAATTGTTTGTTCCAGCAGCAGCGAAGATGATGCGTTGCCTGATGCAACAGAAGCAGCGGAGGCGGCAGAAGCGGTGGAAGCAGCAGCAGAAGCAGCAGCAACAGCAGCGGGAGCGCAAACAGCTGCAGCATCTGCAGCAGGAGAGAGGCGCGTGTCTTTCGTTTCGCTGTCCAGTGACAGCGACTCCGTAGAAGAGGAGCTCCCAGAGAAGCCGAAGCGTGAACCGCAGCAGAAGCGCTCTGCTGCAGCTGTCGCTGGCAGTGCTGCTCCTGCTGCTAGCATCCCAGCAGCCGTTGCTGCTAGACCCGCAGCGCAGCCTTTGAAAGCTGCTGCTGCAGCAACAGGAGCAGCAAGGAAACAGCTGGGAGCAGAAAGGCAGTGGTACAAAGAGGCGGCTAAGCGGCTGCTGGCGCGGCGCGTAGGTGCCCTGAGTGGTCGCAGCAGTTGTATTTACACTAGCGGCAGCAGCAGCAGCAGCGGCAGCAGCAGCAGCAGCAGCAGCAGCATCAGCCTGAGAAGCACTCTTTTAAAATCCAGCTTCAAAAAGAAGCACTTAGGCTTATTTGGCAGCAGCAGCGGAGGAAGCAGCGCCACGTCTGAACGGAGTAAGCAGCTCCAAGAGATACGGAGGGAAGCCCACAGAGAGGCAGCAGCTGCTGCAATCCCGCGTTCCGAAAAAGACGCTTCTCGTGGTGCAGCAGCAGACGCAGCTGCAGCAACAAAGGCAGCAGGAGTTTCTGCTGCCAAGCGGCAGCGACTCAATGAAGTGGAATCAGAGCAAGCAGCTGCTGCAGCAGCAGCAGAGAGACAAAGAAACAACGCAAGATTCAGGGAACGGGCAGCTGCTGCAGCAGCTGCTGCTGCTGCTGCCCCTCCCCCAGTGGATGCGCGCCCCAGTGTGCGCCTTTTGTCTCCTACTGCGGCCGCTGCAGATAGCAGCACCAATGCCCCCAGCAGCACCAAAGGCTGCGATACCCCCCAGCAGCTTACACGACAGGTCGTGGAGTTGCTGCGGTGGCAGCGGCGCTGCTGGCAGCAGCAGCAGCGGAGGGCGAGTGAGACTGCTCGTGCTGCGCTGTTAGGGTTCTTGTGGAGCCTCCTGGAGACGGACATATTCTCCCTTGCGTCCTCAGCTCAAGAAATGCCCCTCTCAGCAGCAGCAGCAGCAGCAAAAGACAGCAGCAAAAGATTACAGCCGGAGGTCGCTGCACTTGCGGCGGTCGCCAAGACACACCCCCTGCCCCTGCGCTTTGATTCGCTGCAGAATCTGCAGCAGTAAGTCACTACTGTTGTGCTGCTGCTACTGTGGGTGTTATGTGCATCTTTCGCCACTGCTGCCGGTAGTTGGCGCGCTGCAGGGATCGTTTGCTGCTGCTGCACTGCGGCGGAAGAGGCTGCCAATGCCCTCTAGCTCGTGCATTTGTATCTAATAAAAGTTAATCTAGAGAAGCACAGTGTCAGCGCAGTGTGCATTTGCTGAGTCTCATTCAGTTACTTCGTGTATTTTGTCGTGCTGCAGGGGCAGTCTCCCGCTGCTGCTGCTGGAGTGTCTGTACGGGCTGCGTTGTGGCATAAGACAAAACCGACTAAAGGGGCAGCGTTGTGTGCTAACTCGCCTGCAAACTATGGGGTCACAATGGAGCTGTGCAACCTTTTCTACCGGCGCCGCGGCTGCTGCAGCTGTTGCTGCTGCTGCGGCGGCGGCGGCGCCTGTTGGGGAATCCGGCGCAGCAGCAGCAGCCGCGGCTGTAGCAGCGAATGCAGCTGCTGCAGGGGGAGACGGAGTGGTCATCAGGCCGGGAGATCTGCTATTGCTGATTCCAGAAAGCCCTTTTTTTGGAGCTGAGGAGACATCAGCAGCAACAGCAGCAGGGAAGCCCCAGAAAAACGAAACCGCCAGCAGCTGGTGCGGCAGGCTCATCGATGAGCGGACAGCAAGGCCGCGCAACGGCTACACCGTTGGTGAGTTGGGTTATTCTCAAGGCACACGAGCTGCAGTTGTTGCTGCTGCTGCTGTTTCAGCTTCTTGTTGCGCCTTGCTGTTCGGCCAGTGTCATTAAAGGGGCTGTTTTTCCTTCATGTGAGCAATAGACTTTGCGTCGTGGCCTTGCCACAGCTAACTGCCGCTGCTGCTGCTACTGCTGCTTCTGCTGTTGCAGGTGTGGTTGAGTACTGGGGCAGCCAAGAGCAGCGGCAGGAGGGCCTGCTGGTGAGGCTGGTGCTGGGGTCCTCTGTCACTGCGTCAGTGGAGCCTCGAAGGGTGAGCTAAGCGGCAGCAGACGCGGGACACGGCAGCTGCTGCTGCTTCTGCGTATAGTTTTGCTGTTTACCTGCTGCTTTGCGCTGCTGCGGAGATACTTTTAGCGCGCATTTCTAGAGGAAGCAAGTGCCTGTGAGGCACCTTCAGCTGCTGCGCTGCAGTGGGAACAGCAGCAAAAGCAGCCCCAGCAGCAACAGAAATAACACGATTGCTATTTTCTGTGACAGCGTTGAGCTGCTTTCACGCCTGTCTGCTGCTGCCGCTGCTGCTTCTGCTACTTACTGTGGACGCCGCAATTGCATCATGAGGCCAGCCATCCGATTCTTACTGTTATTTGTGCTGGTACTGCTGTGTTGTATCAGATAAATTCGCTGCGCCTGAATCTCAACAGCAGCTGGTGGCTCTTCGTGCTGCAGAGCCTCACACCGCTGCTGCGGGAGGTGTTGGGGCTTTACCAGTGCAGCGCCTGCCCGTTTATGCCTTCCATTCTTTCCCCATTTCGGACGCCTGTACAATCCATGCAGCAGCAGCAGCAGCAAAAGCAGAAGCAAAAGAGTTGCCTGACCTCGCACTCGCTGAAGCCTGCAACAGATCTTGCTGCAGCATATCCTGTGGCCGCCAGTTTGCTGAAGCTGCAGCTGAAAAGGCACCAACTGCAGCCACACGAACTGCAGCAACTGGTCACCAGCTACCATCTAAACAAGTCCCAAGTGGGCCAATCTTCCTGTTGTGTTGCGCTGCAGTAGCTCCTGCTTTTGCTGCTTCTTGATGCTGCTCCTGAGTCACATTTGAAGCTTTTGCTGGCCATAGTAGACGACACTACAGCTTGTGGCTGCTTCCTAACTGCGCTACTGTTTCTGGCAGCATGTATCTGTTCTTGCAGCCCGTTATGATGTAGAGCCCTGCGGCACTTGCTTGCTCCTAGCATGATTGGCTGCTGCATGCTGCTGCTGCAGGCTGCTGCTGTCACGGGGCTACTACATGGTGCTGCGCCCGTCGGCCTTGTGCAGGGTCCGCCCGGCACAGGTAAGACAACAACACTACTGGCGCTAATCGCTGGGGCGTATGGGCAAATAAAGCAGCAGCAACGTGTAGGGCGAGCTTTCGAAAGGATCACTGCAACGCCTGCAGCGGCAGCCGCAGCAGCAGCAGCAGCAGCAGAACACGGCAGAAAGAAGATCCTCGTGTGCGCACCCTCGAACGCAGCAGTTGACGAAGTCGCTGAAAGAATTATTAAAAGTGGACTGATCGACCCTTACACCGGACAGAATGTACACCCTGTCTGCCTCCGCATCGGTAATTCTACTCTCTTAACCCTAAACCCTTGGAGTACAGCTAATTAACGGCGTATTCCCAACAGTGCCTTGCCCTAAAGGAAAGCGTTTCAGGTGCATCTAATACACTTTTCCCCCAAGGTTCGCAGTATAAACTTGGCTTTAGGATTTAGGGCATACGTGTCATAAATGAGTGCATGGTGCGGAGTTTGGGTAGGCCATTTCAGGCTGTAGGCTGCATTACTCTAGAGTGTGAAGTCAGTAGAGTGAGGCTGATAGTGCAGGGTCCAGGGTATGGAGTTTCGACTTAATAGGCCGGATTTAAGGGTTTACATCTTAGGGTTCAGTTCCGAAGTCTAGGGTTTAGGGCTTGGTGTTGTGCTTTGCCGCATCAGGGCACCCGGATAGAATACGGCCTTCCGTGCGGTCCATCAGCTACGATTCGGCTTACTCCAAATTGCTGCAGCAAAATGAGGCGTTGCTGCGGCAGCAGTTCGGCGAAGAAACAAGTGTGCTGCTGCAGCGGCGGGAACAGGTGCAGCGGAAAATAGACTCGATCGAGCAGCAGCAGCAGCGACAGCAACAGCAGCAGATTCTCCTACAGCGCAAAGAACAGCAGCAGCAGCTGCTGCAGGCTGCCGCGCATATCCTCAGAGAAGAGGGCCAGTCAGATGAGGCAGCAGCTCTTGTCGCTGCCGGGAGCAGCAGCAGTAGCGGCAGTAACAACGATTTAAGTCGAGCCAGTGCATCTTCTCCCTCCTCCAGCAGCATCGCTGCTTCCTCCGTCGTGTCGGATACATCGCAGCGGCCGCCGCCGCAGCATAAGAGTGCAGAAAGCCTGAACCTTCAGCTGCAGCAGCAGCTTGCCGAGAAGCGGCAACTTGGCGATTTGCTGCACCGCAAGCGGCGGGGGCTGCAAGCCCGTATTGGTTCTCTGCCGCGTCTTGTGCGGAAACAGCTAGTTGCCTCAGCAGATATAATTTTTGCCACCTTGTCTGGCTGCGGCTCGGAGGCTCTAGACCCTATTAACGAGCAGGACGCAGAGGCAGATGCACTGGGAGCGACTGCAGCTGCAGCAGAAGCAGCAGCAGCTAAATCCACCGACGCAGGCAGAGGGAAAAGACCCCTCACAACGAGCAGTGCCACTAGCGGCACGAGCAGCAGCAACAGCAGCAGCAGCAGTGTTCACTTTGCGTATGCCATTGTAGATGAGGCTGGCCAAGCCACAGAAGTGGCCAGTCTTATTCCGCTGCGTCTTCGCTGCGATCGATTGCTGCTGTTTGGCGACCCGCTGCAGCTGCCGCCCCTCATTTGTTCCTTTGCTGCCCAAACCAAAGGTCTCGGCAGGAGCCTTATGGCTCGATTGGCTTTGTGCTGCCAGCAGCAGCAGGAGCAACAGGAACAGCAGCAGCAACAAGAGAGGGAAGATGTTGCGTTTTATTTCCTCTCCACGCAGTACCGCATGCATCCGCTGATTGCAGAGTTCCCCGTAAGTAGTTATTAGTCTCAGTGACAGCGTCTATCGTTTTTCCCATATCTGTGTCTTCCTAAGCCTTTGATTCGCTTTTTTCACCTTTTCCTTTTTCCTTCTGGCCGTTTTCCAGTGTTGGTTTTGCTCGGCGACAGCATAATAATTGCGCTGTAAATTCTGCTGTTTCCTGTGAAATGCAGGGGCGTGTATTTTATGGGGGGCGTTTAGAGACAGACAAGTCTGTTCTTGAAAGAGGCCCGCTGCCGGCCCCTCTCAGAGGGGCTTACCTTCGTTTTTTTCATTTGCGCTGCCCTCCTCGGCGAGAAGAAACAGCAGCAGGGGCGTCAGGGGGTCTGGGAGGTCCCAGACTTTCATTCTGCAATAAAGGCGAGGCGCTGTTTGTGGCGCAGTTGGTGCTGCTTTTGCACAAGACGTTCGAGCAACAGCAGCAGCAGAAGCAGCAGCAGGTGTCGTTATCGCTTTCTGATGTTGGCATCATATCTCCCTACAGGGCACAGGCCGAGCTTATTCTCTCTTTGTTGAAATCCTCCCCCGAGCTTCGGGGGGCCACCCTGCCCGAGACAGACACTGTAGATGCATTTCAGGGTAGGGAGAAGGCAGTAATCATTGTATCTTTTGTGCGGTCGGGATGCCCCGGGCAAACCCACAAACAGCAGCAGCAGCAGCAGGATGCTGCTGCTGCTGCTGCGGCTTGGGGGCTCGCAGATGATGGACAGCAACAGCTACCCCTCGATATATTTGCCATGCAAAAGTCGTCAACTGATGAAGCAGCAGCACAAGCAGCGCCAGAAGAAGCAGCAGTAGGTAATAACCGTCGTTTAGGGTTTGTTGCGGATGAACGGCGGCTTAATGTTTCTCTCACGAGGGCTAAGAGGGCCCTGTGGCTAGTTGGGGATGCTTTGTTGCTGGAAAGCAGCAGCCTCCTGCGGCGTCTAGTTTCCTTTGTCAAATCGGTCCCGGGCGCATGCATAGATGTGGTGCAGCAGCAACACCACCACCACAACCACAGCCATGAACAGAACACAGAGCAGCAGCAGGAGTGGACACGAAAGGTCATCACCAAGGGAGATATGGATTCATTTTTCGCTCTTATGCACCGCCAAACAATTAAGGCCAACATGCAGCAAAACGTTCAGGAGCTTCGCAAGCGTGTGAAGAAGCAGAACATTGATGCAGAGCTTTCTGCTGCAGCACCTCCTGTCTCGTCGAACACTAGTAGCACGCCCAGGCACAGTACTCTTATGGCGAAGCACACAGCCTCTCTCCTCGAAGAACGGAGCAGCAAATGCAGCAGCAAGGAGCGGCAACAAACAGCATCCGCAGATCGGCACACCGCATCGTGCATTGCCACGGGAGAGCCCTTGCTACGGAAAATCAAGCAGCAGAAGCAAGAAGAGCAGCTTGAGAAGAAACAGCAGCATCGGCAAGTTGAGCGTCAGCAGCACCACAGCGGACAGCGGCAGCCCGAGCGGCAGCAGCAGCCAGGGAGGAAAGACCGGTTGGCCGACCGAAAGCTGCTGCAAGAAGACTCACGTCATCAGGCAGAAGACGCACTAACACAGCTTCGTGGCAGCTACACTACCAGTAGCACCACTGACAGCAGAAGCTGTAGGCAACAGGGCATGGGATTGTAAAGGCGCACAGGAAGTTTGTCGTCTTTTCGAAATAGCCATTGATGTGGCAGCAGCAATGCACAAGCGTTCGCTGGTGCAGCAGCAAAGTCCGCTGCAGCAGCTCGCGCAGCAGCGATACAGATGTTGATGTTTTGGCAGCAGTCCATTGCGTACTCGTGATTTTTTTTCCGGCATCAGACTGAAAGGAGCAGCGGAGGCAACGCGCTGCTCCAGCAGAAGCTCTACAACACTAGAAGTGAGCAGCAGCAGTGGCAGAAAGCCGTTGGCAGTATCGAAGCAGAAGCAGTACTGTTCAAGCAACACAGCTCTTTGACGGAGCCACAGGAAGCAGTTATTTCCTTTCCGTACTAAGTGATTATCAAGCAAAATCTGGTCAAGCGAGATGCACAGGTACATTTGCTACTAATGCGAAAATTGTGTTATTAAAACGTATCAACACTCGTCAAATAACTTGCGACAAAATGTACGCGAGAAGGCCTCTCTGTCGATACAACACACACCCACACACGTCATGCAGTTGTGGTTGCCTAGATTACACATGCGACACTCTCCAAGGGTTTGGCGTCTATTCTATGTTTAGGTTGTAGATTACAAATTTCACCTCAGGTTATACAGTTTCGAATTTCAAGGTAAACCTTGAGGGCCTCCCAAACATTGCTTGGCTATATTCATAGAAAAAGTGATTTGCCAATATTGAGGCTAAGTACGCAACATTATAAACATGATCTACTACAAACATGGTCATAAATGTAGATGCAAATATACAATGAATATGAGCTACTACAATAGCAGCTACGAAGTACTGTACCCGTACAAAATGAAACACGGAATAGTGAGAAATGCAAGTTTAAAATAAACATCCACCTACAAATGCGAACATCAGTGCAAGCGCAAACTACTAGTGTAGAACACACGTTACAAGGTAGTCAGGGAAACGAGTGTGTGGCAAAATTCCGAAATACGCCTAACGATGATAGCACCGTATGTATCCATTGAAATTACAACATGCAGTAATAACACGTGTGCATTTGGACCAAGCAGGCAAATACGAATGGGCACGTCAATGCAAACGCAAAGTACGACTGCAAAATATATATTGTGCTTCGGCGGTAAGGCAAAACGTGCGCAGCACACATCGCGTCAGCGACGGAAAACAAAAAGAAGTAAAGACACGAGAGGGACAACACACAAAAAAGAACCCATGCCTATCTGTCCCTCGCGAATCTAAAAAGAAAGAAAGGGCAGACTGGAACACACGAATATAAAAAGAGAATATGCACAAGCACACGTAAAAAGTGGATGCAGTTAAAAAAGTAAGCATGGCATGAACACAAATCATGTGCTGCAAGCAAATGAAACAACAGTGCTCCAGAAGCGGCATAAATATAGCTGCACGGGAAACAAACAAAACAAATCTAATAAAAAGCAGTGGAGCTAAGATAAATCCAAAACGTCCAAGCGCAGACAGGCTTCAGCTCCTGCTTGCGTCGGTAGCAAAACTTCAGACAGAAGAGACAATTCAGCCTCAGCTTCTGCAAAAAGGCACCACAAACCCCAAGCCCTAAACCCTCATGTCTAAGCCACGAGTCCTAAATCCCACGTGAAATGGTAGGAGCTGAGGTGCACGCGTAGAACACACGTTGTTGACCCTGAACAGCAAACACTACACCCTGGCCTGCTGACCCTAAGCGCTGACCCTTAATATCAGCTTACTTTCAAGATCTGAGATAAGGGGAACGAGACACAAAATGAGGCAATTTTCCCTGTGAACCTTTTCCTTCTCCACTATCTCCAACGACGGTTCCCCCGGCTGCAACAGAAACAGTAGCAGCAAATGCAGCACGATGAAGCGCTTCTCGGCTGCTGTCGCAGCAACAACATTTCGAAAGAATGATGGGCACAATGACGATACTCAAGGTGCTAACTGGGCTGCCAATATTTAAAAGTAATAACCTGAGCCTAAGTGCCGTCTTCCGCTTTTAATATGTATCCATGCAATACATGTTCATTTGTATAACATATGTACGCATTTGTAGGTGTACGCAAATACTGTCGCGCAATACACAATAAACCCAGCAACTTTAGTACGAACTAATATGCGCAGAGGCAGCGTTCGCACCATTCGTAATTATGTATTCCTGTGACTGGCTCTTTTCTGTGTCTGGTTCTGCGTTTCGCAGCAAGAAACGCACAGAACACATACCCTTGGATCCGCTACATGGCGAATGCAGTCGAGTCCATCCGTTAATAACTGTTTCTTCGCCGCCCCTTGGTGCTGCTGTTGCTGCTGGTTTGGCTGCTGCTGCTGCAAGGTAGTGGAAAATTGGAAAGTCCGCGCGGGCTGCTGCGCTATCCATGCCTTGATGCGTTCGTATGCGGCCTGGCGAGCGCCAGATGAGGAGTGCAGGGCCCTCTGACCCCCCGCCGCAGCCTCTGAAGGGGGCCCTTGAGGGGCCCCCTGGGAAGATCTCTCAACAGACCCTACAGGAGACCCGTGATGGGACCCTTGGGGGGCCCCTGCAGGAGGGTAGACAAGGATGGTCAGCGGCTGCTGCGCTTGCAGCCCCAATAAAGCAGAGAGGAGGGAAATCTGCCAATGATTTGTTCTTTCCGTTGCTTCTGTTCCTTCTGCTGCTGCTGCTGTGTGTGTTACCTTCTTGAAGCTCTCCACGGGGGACTCCGAGGGAGCTGCAGGGGCCCCCGGAGTTTGGAATGGTAGTGCTGAGAAGGGAAACAGTTTCCGGGGCTGCTGTGCCTGCAGGTGGGAGATCGATGCAGCTAAGAAGAAAAACAATTATTGATGCCATTCCCACCCTACGTACTATCTTTGATACTATTTAAATACGAGAGATCTATGGGGGTCTGCAACTCTTACCTTTTTCTTCAGCTTGGGTATTAGCGCCTGAAGTTCACTTAGTTGTATTTGCACGCTTCGCCATTCGCAGTTGTGCAGTCCGCGAAACGAAGGAGGGAAAATAGACAACAAACCAAATAAGGAGCGGGTCCATGCGCTGTGGCAAACGCACATGACTTCTATGCTCACCTTGCTGTTGCAGCCACTGTTGCTGCTGCAGCAGCTGCCGTTGATGGCGCTGCCGTTGCTGGCTCTGCCGTTGCAGGTGTCGCCGTTGCTGGTGCAGGTGATGCTGGTATCTTTGAGATGAGCAGGAAACGGCTTGCTGCAGCGAGAGCAAGTGGGTTGGCCCTTCTTTCCTGCTGCTGTGCTGGCTGCTGCTACGGCCGCTGCTGCTGCTGTTCCTAGGTTTTGCAGGCGCTGCAGGAAGAGGATGCAACGCTCCTCCATGGCCTGGCGGCTCTCTCTAGGCATTGTGGGAGGCAACGGGTCGGCTGTGAAACATTTGCAGTAACAGCAGCAGCAGCAGCGGCAGCAGCAGCTGCTGGCGCGTAGAGAGCAATGCAAAGGCTAGTCCGTGAGTAGACATGAACAGACCAAAGAAAGTGACACAGATAAATAAAGATGAAAATAAACGTCACTAGCCGGTACACAAACAAAATACGAATAACAAATTATAACAGAAGACAAGCACAAAGACACAGGTACTCAGAGGATAGCAAACCCAAACAAATAGATGGAGCACCAGACGGAAAGAAGTACAAACAGAAAAAGAAATTCATATTCAAATGGGGAAATTAGAGATAAAATGGACAAATAAACGAAAAAGAGGCAAAGACACAACTGTATTAGCCGCTACTTCTGACCTTCTATCTTTGGCGAGAAGGAAATATTCTTGAAGAGTTGAGATGCCCACCGCGCTTGCGTCTTCAGTCTAAGCAGACACAATACCATAAAAGCATTGTTGCTGCTGCTGCTGCTGATGCAGCAGCAGCAACTGGTCCTACTGCTGTCGTTGCTGGCGCTGATGCTGCTGCGGCGGCGGGTTTTGCTGCTGCTGCTGCTGCTACTGCTGCCTCTGCTGCTGCTGTCGCCAATTCTAGAGAAGCTACTTCTGCAGCTAATGCTGCTACTCCTGCTGCATTGCCTACGGATGCCTCCCGTCGCAGCAATGGTTTCCTCCTGCCCACTCCCTTGTCTCCTCTAAAGCAGTCACTGGAATGTCCAATGGTTCTGCTGCTCCTGCTGCTGTTGCTGCTGCCGGCGCACTCGTGCCTGCTGCTTCTGCTCCTAACGCGGCCTCTCCTGAAACTGCTGCTGTGTCTGTTGTTGCTGCTGGCGGAGTGGCCAAAGCCGCTTTAAGGGTCTCGTAAGCAGTGCGAATGGTTCGCCTAAGTGAGCTCGTGTAGACAGCAGCAGGAGGGCAGCAGCAGCAGTACCCTTGCCGCTGCTGCTGCTGCTGCTGCAGAGCCAGCAGCAACTGCTCCGGCATTCGGAGTCCTGCTGCTCGAGCCTGCAGAAAACCTGCTGCTGACAGGTCAGCATCGAAATGCTGCGGCTGAGAATATACCCAGTCGCAGCTCTGCCCAGGTGGCCTGAAGCAGCAGCAGCAGCAGCAGCAGCAGCAATAGCAGTAGCAGTAGCAGCAGCAACCTGTCGTAGCTGCAGCAAGCACATGAAAGAAGCTTGCTGCTGTTTCAGAATATTAAGAGGAGTCTTCTGGCTATAGAAGAATTGCCCAATGAGCGTTTAAGGGTTTGGGCTTTGCAAGCTGAAGTTTAGTTTACCTGTCGCGCGCTCCCACATTGTGAGTGCCCTCTGCAGCAGAATCAGCAGCAGCAACAGCAGCAGCAGTTGTTGTTGCAGCTGACGCCTGTTGCGGCAGCACCGGGACTCACGTGCAACAGCAGCGACACAGAGTGCAGTACTAGCAGCAGCAAAACAACAGCAGCAGCAGCAATAGAAGCGCAGCTAATAGCGACAACAGCAGCAGTTATAGAGCTGGTGGGACCTACCTGCATGACGCAGAAAATGGATATTGATGCAAATATCCCCGTGAGGCGCAGTGGAGGAGCTGTCGCAGCTGCTGTGCTTAGCTATTGCTGCTTCCAATTCTGCTGCTGTTGCTGCTTCCTCGGAAGGAGTGTTGATAGTTGCGTCCTCAACAGACGACCCTGCAGCGGAAACTGCAACGGCAGCTGCTGCTGCTGCCGCTGCTGCTGCCATTGCTACAGGGCAGAGGGCGACCATTTGCGCGTAGCTGCTGGCGATGCTGCTCAGTGTTGCTTGCACCCTTACGCTCCTTCTGCTCCTGGTACTTCTGCTTCGTGAGCGCTTGCCCCGTACTGGCTGCTGCTGCTGTCTATGCTTCTGCTGGTGGCGGCCAATGCTGGCGTTACTGCCGACCTTGCTATTACATTTACTGGCTATCCTTGTGCTTCCGTTGTTGCCATTCGTGCTGTTGCTACAGTTGCGGATGTTACTGCTGTTCCTGCAGCTGCTGCCGTTGCTCAGGGCCCAAGGCGATTCGACCGTGAGGTACCGAATGACGCCAGCAGGTCTTCATAAACTATTTTCTAAGAGCACAAGAAGGGAACTAATAAAACGATAAAAAACGAAAGTAGCTTAAATAAATAAAACGAGACAATGCGGCTGCTCTAAAGTAGTATTTGACGCCATGGGGCCTTCAGCATGGCAACACCAGCAGCAGTAGGAACAGCCACAGCAACTCTACGCGAGCAACGTAGAGATAAGCCGTAGTATTTGCCCCTGTATTATTTCCAGTATCAGCTTATAGTGCAGAATAACTCATTACAGCTGTTGCTGTTCCTGCAGCGATCAGAGCTGCTTCTGCTGCTGCTGATGTCGAGACACGCACGCCCATAGCTGATCTCTGTCTTTTATTGGAGGGCCTGAATCCTCCCTTACCGATTCTCTTGTTGAGCTTCTTATTTAGAAACTAGAGCAGGCCCGAAACATACGACCCGGTCCCTTATATTGATCCTAAATGCTCACCCTTACCTCGCTCTTGTCTCTGGAGTTCGTGCACTCGCAATAGATCTGTGGCTGTTGCTATACATGTTTTTTAACTGTTCCTCAGGTCACCTCTTCTGCTCTGTTTGAGCTGCTCCAGCCAGTATCGTTCAAGTTGATCCAGCACAATTACTCGTGAAGGTGCATTTGCGGTATGTTTCATGAAAGTTCTCTTTCGTGGTACACGCGTTAGTCTACAGAGAGGCTGCTGCTCCGCCCCACGTGCTCCCACGGTTAACACGGTTCAGCGTAGTGTCTATACAAAGTATCATTAGGCTTCAGGGTCTGCACTGGGGGTGCAGAGCAACAGCAAGGGGAAACTGACGAACCCTCATTTGGTCTCTCCAACGGTAGAGGCATTCGAGGTTTCTTCTGGCAACAAATCTGAAGTGCTGCTCAGATGTTGCAGCTGACGAAGCCTCTATAATGTAGATTCTTGCCATCCGTGCTAAATTGTAAGCCTTGCACTAGGTCTGTGGATCCCAAGTAAAGGGAAGCGTATTATCTCAACCCCGTCCACGTTGCCACGAAAGCATCGGCCAATATATCGTCTAGTTCTGGTGAATTTTGGTCCAGCGTCCGGGGACAGGGTTTGGCCCGTGACGCCTCTAAAGAGATAATACGCAGTTGTCTTAATGCCGCCCATGTACCCTTAACGCTGTTGCTGTGTCGCCTGGGTACAGGGAAGCTAGATCCCCAGCTACAGTACAGTTAGACCTCCGGGTACAGAAAGGCTTAATTGTACGCAATAGATTCTTGAGCACCAGCTCTGCAAACTTTCCAGCCTCTGACTGTTGTTCTTAATCCTGTGCAGCAATTCGGGCGCCTTTAATGCTAAAACCTTGTAGGCAGTGCTTAGCACAAAAAGCTTTCCGTGGAAGCTGACAAATTCCAAGTTACTAAAAGCAACGCTGAATTCCCAGCGGCTGCAGCTGCCACAGTAGCAGCCGCAGCAAGGCAATCAGTAAATACGGTCAAAGGTAGAGACACAGGGACAAAAAGGCATACAGGGCTGGGAAACAGCGACAGATGAACAGAAACACGAGGCATTTGTGTGAAAACACGGGAAGGAACAGTAACGAAGAGACCGAATGGCAGACAGGCCCTTACAGGGATAAACAAACGAGCGAACGAAACAGCAAAGGCAAAGAAAAGAGGAAAAATGTACTGGCTCGCATTACTCATTTGCCGATTTCGGGGGGGGTGCAGAGCGCAACGACAGAAGGAATAACAGAAAAAAGGGCAGCGGTAGTTGAAAAGCACAAGCAAGAAGAAAGGATGAACTGAAAAGAGAACGAACCAAAGAGGAGCTGTTCCCTCGTTCTCCCTTGCTCAGAGAGCTGTTCCTCTTTCGAAGTTTTGCTTGATCTCTCTTGTGTCGAAGCTCCTCTCCAACTTGTTGTTGAATATTCTGTTTCTCTCATTGATGTAACTAACATCTGCGTCTTCGTTGAACATACGACGCCGCGAGAACATACCGCGCCGGCTTTTTGCAGCGGCGACAGACGCAGCAAGACGCTCCAGAGCAGCAGCAGAAGGCTGCACACAGAGGCAGGAGTTAACTTTATCTGTGCCTGGTTGGGCTTCGGGTGTGGACAGAAAGGCGCAGAAGTAGAATCTTAATTTATAATTTTGCCTCTTCCTCATTATTCACTCGTCCTTCGCTGTGTTCACTCTTGGACTACACTGCCTGGAAGGTGTAGCCAGCACGCGCTAGCGTGGAGCATGCAAAGTGCAAATTTACACTTCAGCAAAGACTCACGCATGTTCACGTAAATTTACACGCATATATACATTTTCGGGTATATATAAATATATTTTCGAGTATGCATTCTTTATTTTACGCCGCGATCCATCTCTGCAAGCATGATTAAGTGCAAGTAACCGCAAATGTTCCATAAGCGCACGATCACGCCATGTCTCTAAATCACAAAGAAACAGGAGAAATCAAGCACCAAAGCGGAGCAAGTGTAAAAATAAAACACGCAAGTGCAAGACAAGACCAACCTTGTGATTCGGGTGAGATAACACTAAGTTCGGATCCCAAAAGGCATCCCCGAGAGACTCTTGCTGCTGCCTGTACTCGTCAGCTCGCAGCGGCACCTCAGAAAGTCTAAAGAAGCAGAAACAGCAACGGACACAGAAGCATTAAAGCAATAATACCATCAGCACTGTAGTGCTTGCAAAATGCAGCATTCATACGAACAGAAACAGCAATCCCACAGACAGCAGAATTATCACTTCTGAGCACCCTGCAAGAGCAAAAGTGGCGCCAAGCATAGCAGCAGAAGAATAATAAGCAGCTACAGCAGCAACGCAGGAAAAAGCAAAGCCGGCAGCAGCAGGGAACCATTCATAAGCATCAGTTCCAGCGGTTGTGTAGGCGCAATCAGCAGAGGGACAGCTTTAAGGCGTCAACATCATCTGTTTTGCTAGCATCAGCATCACAACAGCGTTATCGTTGGTGCCATCCCTATCAACACCATCACCTGCAGCAGCAGGTCCGCCGGCAGCAGCTCTGCCAACAGAAGCAGGACAACAGCGGCAGCAGCATCATTACCTCTTTTTGTGTGCTCTATAAAGCGCGTCTTCATTAAATACATTCCACCCGAAGTTACTCTTTCCCTTCTTCTTCTGCATCCTTTGGGCATCTTCAGAAAACGCCAACGGCTCATCCAGGACATTGCGACGACCGCCCTTCCCTTTGCGGCGCCCGGGTGCCCCAGTCTCTTCATCGTCACTCGATGCTGCTGCTGCAACTGCTGCACTTGTTGCTGCAGAGGTGGCTCCCGTTACAGCAGACCCTGAAGACTCTGCCGTTGTTGCGGATTTGGCTCCTTCTGCCGCTGTTGCAGCCTCGGTTTCCTCCTTATACAGCCGATACATTGGGGCTTGCTGCAGGCGCTTGTACGCCTGACGAGCTTCTGCGGCTGCTGCTGCTGCTGCTGCTGCTGGAGTCTCCCACTGGCGTTTCTCCTCTATTACCTAGGGAGCAGTCAACGCATGGAGGCACAGACACTACGAGGCCGCTGCGGCTTTTTCTGCTACATGCACACAGCAGCAACAGCAGAAGCTGCAGGAGTTGGTGCTGCTGCCGCTGTCGCATGCATTTGACGGTGTATCTCTCTTTCCTACCTCTTTAGTGTTCATCGCTCGACCCTGATTAAGCTGCAGCCGGAGAGATAGTAGCCTTTGCTTCCTTGCTAAGATCAACGCGCGCGCTGCTGACGTGCCACCGCTTTCACCATCTGCTGCTGCAGCTGCAGTGGTGTCTTCGTCTGTTTGCGAGCCTGCTTCCTCATCGAGCTGCAGCAGCAGCTTGCCGAGCGGGTCAACGGCAGCAGCTTCTGTTGCTTCTGTTTTCTGCCGCTGTTTCGTTTCTTCTTCCTCTTCGCTGTTGCTGCTGTCTCCCTCGTAGAGTGCAGCCGCTCGCTCTTCTGCTAGTACTGCTTCTGGCTGCAACTGTTGCAGCAGTGGCACCCCTGCTAGCACTTTTTCCATGGCCTGCTGAGCAGCATATGTGCTGCTTTCCAGGAACCGTTGCCTCTTCCTCTCTTGCCTCCGTCGTTTGTCTCTTCTTGACGGCGCCTCCGTCTCACTGTCAGTGCTGCTGCTGACTGACTCCTCGTCACTCCCTAAACGCCACAAGCGCCACACGTGCAAACAGGCACATGAGCAATAAGTAGATAAGCAAACAAAGTATCAGACACTTGTAGGGTGCCTGCTGCATGATGCGCCAGCAGCCGCAGCAACAGCACAGCACCGAAGGCGGTGAAAGAAACAGCAGATGCAGCAGCGCCCGAAGGGACAGTATCATCAGATACAGCAGCTTGCCAGTGCCTCTGCACTCTGCCGCGCTGCAGAACTAGGTTATGCTGCAGCTCCAGAACAGCTGCAGTATCCACTCCGCCGACGGCAGCACCAGCAATCTCAACAGCAGCAGCAGCTTGCCTTTAAGTTTCCTGGAGTCTTCTGCTTGCTTTTTAAGTTCCCGTTCGTGTTTCTTCATCAGTGTGTCCAGTTGCGTTCGGACAGCAGACATGGAGGCATTTCGGAGAGTAGCAGCAGACGCCAACTGTCCGCAAGCTGGGCAAAACGGGTATACCAGAAACAGCAAGAAAGACTAACAAATCCATAGTGACACAAATGAAAGCAGATTCGGAGATAGCAGAAAAGAAGTATCAAATTACAGACCAATACATTGGAGACGATAGAGGGAGGCACTGACACATAGGCCCTATTCGCAATTCTTCGGACTAGCTGCTCCACTTGACTACTCAACTAACCATAGTGGGAAACTGTAAACTGCACATTCTGAGTGGCTATGCAGCTGCTATTCAGTACAGCTCTGTGTCTAGAAGCTAGCCCATCACAATAACTCGGTGTTTCCAACTGGATCCCATTCTTTACAACAAGTAAACTAACTCCATTGTCATTTTTACCTGTAATGACAATATCAACTCGTGGTACTTGTGAATTGGAGTGCACAGGTACGAGCTGCATGGCACGCAGCACTTGTATCCCGTCCACTAGCTGTCCGATCACTTGATGTTTGCCATCGAACTGCGGGGCCTTTTTAAGAGTTATGAAAAACTGAGACGTGTTGGTGTGGCGGCCGTTGTTGGCCATGCTCAAACAGCCTAGAAACAGACAAACAGGAATTTATAAAACAATTGTAAGTGCATATTTATCGTGTCACACTTATCGTATTACGTGTACACATTTATGAATAAATGATGCACGTAAACGCATATTTCTACTTGTGCATCCGTGCACATACTTGCTCGCGTGCGCACATAAAGTGATGTGCCAATCAAACTACACACATGCCGCCGTTTTACAGCCCCATGTAAATGTCGTGTATGTAGACGTTATGCGCATACAGCTACTTTACATACACATAGAGCATTAGGTTGCACACAAAACAAACATAAACATGCAAGCACCTGTGCATGTTCGTATATATACGCGTACACAGACATACATACTGTCGGCGTGAGTCCAGATGAATATGCAGACAAGAACACACACAAGCTAGCATTCAGACAGGTAAGCCAAGTAGGCATTTACTTACATAAATCCAAACAGAGATATACGTACACTCCACGGACAGAGAAATCTACATGTTTACGGACACCTATACACCTCACCAGCATGCGCATGCCTCCGTTGGAAGCTCTCGTCGTTAAAAGGCCCCCCCCATATGCTCTCGCCTGAAGTGCCGTCATTGGTGATGAAGTCGCCACTCTGCAGCAGAACGCCAGAAACGGACCGAAAGAAGCGGCAGCCCCGGTAGCACAGGGGCTTGCCTGAGGCCTTGCTCACGCCGTACTCCCCTGAATCCAGCAGGCGAAAACAGAAATGAATTCAAAAGGCATTTTGTGTACTGATTTGGTAAACTTCGCATCGTACATACATGAGGCCAGTACTGACTTGGTAAACTTGGCGTACATACATCAGGCGAGTTGCTACAAGGCCAGGCGTGGAGCGGGCGAACACAAATAGAGAGGGAAGAGAGGGGCGCTAATTTTGCATGGGGTGCTATATAATAGATACAAAAGAGCAGAAACAGTAGTTTCTAGTGCTGAAGGGCAGTAACACGTGAGAAAGTACCGACGGGGAAACTCACAAAAAAGCGATCACATAGAGACAAAAAAGCCGCTAATAAAACAAGAACGTCAGCCACACGTGGAGGTAGAGGCAAAAGTGAAAAACAACCAGTGCAATACAGCCACTTGCGTAATAGCGCCTCAAACAACCCAACCAGCTTGAAACTGTCGCAAAAGAAAAGCAAACAGACGAAGAAAAAATGCAAAAGAAAATGCTCTTATATACGCGTGTTAGTACATGCGTTTCTACATGCGCGCATGCAAATATAGGAGGATACTTAGAAATGCGCATGCATGCAAGGATGAGTACCTGTAGCTAGGCCTCTGAAGTTCTCCGCCGCTTTTGGAGTCACATCAGAGAACAATTTGAACACGAGACGGCCCGCAGGCTGCGTGCCGATCGATATGTCTAAATACACCAAGGGGCCGGAGCGAGACATTGTCACCAATGCTGCTGCTCCTGCTGCTCTTGCTTGTAATGCAGCTGCTGCTGCTGATTGTTAGCGTTGCTACTGTCTGAATCGCCTTTGCTGCTCCTGCTGAATACTAGGATGGTGCTACTGCTGCCGGGGCTGTGGCACTGGATGAGGTTGTTCCTGTTGAGCGGCGAGCAGCAGCAGCAGCTGCTGCTGCTGCTGCTTGTGAGCGCCTGCGGCTCGAGGATGCGTTGTTGCTGCTGCAGCAGCAGCTAATGCTGCTGCAAATTGAGCCTTGCTGCCGTTGTAGTGGCCGTATCCTATCTACTATTTATAATATCAATGGCAGTGCAATCAACCCTGCAGCAGCTGCGGCTGATAGGATGGCAGTTGCCGCTGCGGCAGGCAGAAAATGCACGAGCATACGCCGCGTCTGCTCAAAGTCCTGATATGTGTTCTGCTGCCTCGGCTGCTGCTGCTTCCGTTGCCACTATTGCATCGGGTGATGAAGTTGGTTTGCTGCCTGCGGCGACTTCCCTCTTTTCCCGTTTTTTTGCCGCAGCGGCAAGTCAATGGAGAATTCCAATGATAATTTAGGAGAGATGAAGAATATCATGGCTACTCTAGTGCTGTGGCCTCTGTTGACGCAGCTGCTGCTGGGGCCCCCTTGGCCCGCATGCGGCGGCTGCGGATCAGATTCTGTTATTCTTGCCGCTGTTGCTGCTGCGCCTCAACACCGATATAATTAAGCATTTCATTTGATTTTGACTTTGGCTCAAGGATCAGTCGGCCCGCGGACGAATCCCTAGATCCCACGGGGGCCCCTCAAGGGTTTGCACTCGCGGGGTTAGGGCTACTGTAGTGATCATGCTGTTACCTGCAGCAGTGAGACCAGCAACGTATACTTCAGCAGCTGCTGCTGCAAGTGCTACTGCTGCTGCGCGCCGGCTGATGGCTCGCATGCAGTGGAATGTGCTAACCAGAGAGCACAGTAGCCGCAGCACCAGCTGCGACAGCAAAAGGAACTGTTGCTGTTCGAGCAGCGGATGGGACGTCCATACGGTGCACCCCTCAATATCCTCACGCAGCAGTGTCACTGATAGTGACCACGCAAGCAGCGCCGCTGCACTGCAAAAGATAAGGCAGTTCAGCACAAAGAGTGACGGCAAAAGCAGCAGCAGCAGCAGTAGCACAATAGGGAGGAGATCCTGGAGTCATATAGGGCGCAGCAGCAGCCGCAGCCGTTGGGTGGCACGAGTGGACAAATTGATTCGGGAGGGGCACCAGAAGGCAGAGTCACTTGCGGCTGCCTCAGATGAAGGGCTTGCTGCTGCCGGCCCTGCTGCAGCAGCTGCTGTTTCTTTCGCTGCTGCTGCTGCAGCGGAACTTGAGGGTGGCAGAACCATACCTAAGGACTGCGTGCATCCGGAACTCAAGCAAATCACTCCAGCATGGAATAGCAGGCGGTGAGCTCTTACTGCTGCTCTTGCTGCTACTGTGTTGAGTGGCGCTGCTAATGAACCTGCTGCTGCTGCTGCTGCCGCCGCCGCTTTCTGTGCAGCTTTCTTAGTGGGCCGAGGAACATGAATGCATGCAGTGTATTTCCATATGTCCGTGTCTGCGTGTCGCTCTGCTTGTTTTCTCTCACTTCGTCATGTATTATCTCTTTTTCGTCGAATTATGTTTTACAGCAATTGGTGAGGATTGTGGTTTTGCCTCAAGCTTGCAATACTCCTTGTCTTCGCGAGGTAGCCTTTTTTCGTGTTTTTTTTTCCTGTTTTTATCTGCTTCTTTTGTCTCTCCTATAGTTGCAGTGTTCCGTAGACGGGCCTCGCTGTGCTTCATTTTTTTCAGTCTTTCGTGCAGTATACTTCAGATGTCTTGACTCGCGGGGTGACTGGGCTAGCTTTGTTTGTAACAGCTCGTTTCGTCGCTCTCATATTTACTGTTCATCTAGTACTGGAGCCTCATCAAGCATCTGCTCATCTCCTGTCTGCCCCACCTCTCTTCTGGAGTCTTCCATATGTCTTTCTTTATGCCTTTTCTTGCTTTATTACTACAGCGTCGTGGCACTTCCTGTGGGCAAGGTATGTTATCGCGCCATGTTTTTATCCTGTGTACTTCCACTTCCCTGCTTGTTCTTCTTCATTTTCTTTCTCGTATTCTCTCGAGTTCGTTTCTCTGTTGTATGATTTTAACCGCCAGCGCATTTTGTCGTCTCTTCCCAAATGGATTACAAGTGGGAAGCAGTGTGTGTGCCGTAGCCACATTCCTACTTGTGACTCGCATCTGTGTCGTTTGCATCCTTCCGCCTCCCCAGCCTTTGAGTGCTCGGACCTTCATCTCCTGCTTCTGCTGTATGTTTTTTTCTGTTTTTTGTCTCTGCTTTATTCAACAGCTGCGGTGTTTTGGCGTACAAGGTGGGAATGATGTCTCTTTGGGATAGCTGGGGTGAGCGCCATGCAGTGACCGTTTGCCAGATCGACCGCTGCATTGTGCTGCAGCAGAAGACACTCAGCAGCCACGGCTATGAGGCCTGCGTGCTTGGACTAGGTAATGATACTGTTGCTGCTGTTGCCGGTGGTCTTGCTGGTGCTGCTGCTGGTAGTTTGTTAGTTGTTGAGGTGCTTAGCCCTCACGGCGTTTGTTATTGTGTTTGCTTGTGTGTGTTTGTTGTTTTGTATGCTTTTGAATTTGTCTATTACTGGGTTTCCTTCCGTATTGACTCTTTTTTGATTGAATGCTCGTGTTATGAACTTTTTGCATCTCCTCTCGTGTCTTCCTTGCTTATGTTTTTTTCTGTTAGGCGCAGCCGTTAGTTTATTTAGGCATCTCATCACTTTTGAGATTCTCTTTTACTTCGATTGCCTTGTGTTTTGCCTTGATAGGCTACCGATCACCCCTCAGGACATCTCGGCCCAATCTATGTCGTTTTGTTTCTCTTGGGGTCGAGCCCAAAGCAGTCACTGCTGAATTTAAGGTGAGCGGAAGTCAACAAGAAGGAAGCATTAATACCCAGAAGTTAACTGACAAGTGAAAACGCAAGTGAATTAGTACAGAGGCACATGAACAACGCCAAACATTGGGGAATGACGGCTTACCGCCTAAAAAGCAAACAGTTGAATGTTGTGCATATGCGCCTGTGTGCTGTACAGCTTTTTGTGAATGTTTTGTATCTGCCGAGGGTTTCGGTAGTTTGAGCAGTGTATTGCAGGTCTGTGTCTGTGTCTGCCTCTGCCCTCCTCGTTTTAGGTATCCTCGGACTGTCTCCTCCCTCCGGGTGTGGAATTGAGTGCAATGCACTTTGTGCCTGGGCAGTGGTGTTTTGTCTCGGGCTGGAGCACTGCGAAGGGATTCCAGGGCCCAGTCAAGCGATGGGGATTTAAAGGTTGGCCGCTGCTACTGCTAATAGCTTGTTGGGTGTTGCTGCTGTCGCCTGTGCTACTTTGTGGCTGTTATGCAAATACCACTGCTGGTGATGGCATTCTTTTTTTGCTGCGCTGTTCACCACAAGCTTTTTTTGCTCTCATGTTGATGTTGCAGGGCAAAACGCAAGTCACGGCACTGAGAGCAAGGCGCATCGTTCTCATGGCAGTATTGGCCAAAGCAAAACGGTTAATGTCGTTTGGAAGTTCAAGAAGATGGCAGGACATGTGGGACCCGACCCACGCGTTGTGAATTGTCAAGTGCTCAGGATACAAAACGACAGAAATCTGATTTTTCTCAAGGGTGAGCTAGACAAGAAGTAATGTTCCACTGGATGCACAGGTGTAGAGCGATACTCAAGGTGGAGATAGAGGCATAGGAAGGAAGAGAAATGAGGGAAAGAGACAGCCGCGGAGGCAGTAGGTACAGTAGACACAGACAGAGAAAAATAGTGATCTAGAGGAAGCGGCAAACGAAAGAAGCAATAAGACGGGGAAGAAAACGACAGCGACACTAGAGGCAATCGTAAAAGCATTAGACATGCGAAACTGGTTAGAAACAGGTAAGGCACGAAGAGCAACCGAAGGCGGTCCATAAGTTTGGAATTCTCTTGTTCTACGTCATCACACCACGCTTTTCCTGCCTTGTTCTGTTTGTTTTTATGTCAGTTTCATTACTGTCACTCATCCGCTCGCTACTTCTGTTGTAATTTTCCATTAGGTTCTGCTGCTGTTGCTGCTTTGGCAGGTTGTGTCCCTGGTGGAGTAGGTTCGGTTTTGAAAATTAGCGATGCGCGTGGTAAGACACATCACCAAAGGAACCGCCACGTGCCCCTACCCTACCCTACGTTTGTCCCTGTGGAGGGTAAAGTTTACCCCTTAGTGCTTAATAGGGTCGACAAGAAGCAAGACCCGTTCGCTTATCCGGAAATACCCATTTACGACAAAGACGAAGCGTGAGGGCATCCAACAGCGACAATCTACTAGCATACTAGTAGCCGCAGCGAGCTGGCATACGCTGCGTCTTCGTTTTCTGCTGAGGATCTCAGCAAGAGACTTCGTGTTTATCTGTAAGACCAATGCGAGCAACTATTCTGCTACAGATGTCACTATTGCGCCGCAGATGCGGTAGGTTCCAGGTGTATGCATGCAAATGTGCACATGCGCACATGTACGAATGTAGTCATCAATATCTTGTGCTTCTCCATGCCTGCATGCACATGAGCGTGCGTTCTCGAGTGCATGTGTAGGGCAGAACATGTTTGTGTGCTTGCATCTGTGCACTGAGAGCATGGAAGCGAAGGTGCACGCACTCACGTGTTCTATCCCGTGTTCTTGCCTTGGTGTTGTGCTGTTCTTCCTCGTTGTCTCGCTGTCACTTATTCTATCAAGTCTGCGTCCTTGGAATGAAGTAATGGCAGGCTAGCGAGATGCAGCGCACCACTTCCACTGCAGATATGAAGGAGCTGTGTTTCCTAGAATTCATGAGCAAGAGCCATCTCCGCTGGGGAAATAAAAAGGGCTCTGCTCGCATGCTCTGCGCCTCATGCAGGGTCAACTGTTACTTCACTACAGTGCGAAGTGACCAATGCACCAGAAATCTCAGAAAATATGTAGCTAGTCAGCACACCAGACTCAATCTGGTTTACAACAGTTAACAAGGAGAGGCTTTGCTCACATAAATCGCATGTCCAAATGTACACTTAGCAGCGTCTGCAGCAGGTGCTGCGACTTGCACTCTCCTTTGGAGCACATCTCACCCTGAGAAAAACCATTACGAAGCGACTTTTCTGCTATAGTAGCCACAGAAACTTCCGACATGAGTGCAGTTGCTGCTGCGCCCTGCCGTGACAGCAACAACAGCAGCTGCTGTTTCTGTCAGTGCAGGAGACCAGAGAACGGCAGCTACTGCGGCCTTGTTTCCTGGGCCACTGCGCCTGTGCGGCGCCAGCAGGCTATCTATGTCATGTGGGCTGCTGCTTCATTGCAGCGTCTGTTGATGGGCGATACGGACGTGGCTACGCAGCTGCCGCAAAGGCAGCGCTGTATGTGGCAAGCGTACGGCTTGGCCAGGACGGTTTGGGAAACAGTACACCGCCCACAGGGGCAGCAGCAGCCAGATATAGCAGTGGCGGCAGGCACCCCACACATCTGAGGTGGTACTTGGTGCCGCGTAGTAGCACAACACTGCCGAACACACACGCCGCCACCGGCACCAACAATAGGAGTCCCGCAGCAACGGCCTGAGCAAGTGCCGCAGGCAGAACCGCAGCCACGGTCTATTTGCTTTGTATGGGTTAACTCGTCCGTGGTACAGCAGACAACTGTTGTTTCGTTTGGGTCCTTTACTGTATACAAGTACAGGCTGTCGCCCCCTTGTATATCGTAGTCAGCCAATGCATTTGTAGCTGTCAAAGTAAAGCCGTTAAAAACCAATCGCATGTGCTCCATCTTAGTTAAAGCCAGGCGCTCTAGGCGAGCTTTCAATTCCGACACGCTGTACTCAAACGGGTCGACATCAAAAGCCCAGGTGCAGGCTGCACACAAAACGGCAACAGCAACGAGAGTAAAAGCAGCAACAGCAACAGCAGCAAGAGAAAACAATTACTGCAAGCACCTCATGATAAGAGAAGGACTACCCGCGAGCTTCAACATATCGGAAAGCCTGCAGCCTACACATACATGGCACCTAGACGCCGCCACTGCTGCTCCGCTGCTGCTATTTTTCCTGGTCAATAACCTGTTGCTCACCAATCTTGCCCTTGTTGCTGCCTGGTATTGGAGCCACTCGATGAACGAAGATGGCGAGATTCTTGAAGTGCGTCGGGTTTCGTGTCTCCAGCCGGACCTCAGGATATACTGCAGCAAGCAGGCCCCACATGAATCCTTAAAACGTTGTCCACCCTCGCTTTTGCGGAAGCATTTGCTGCTGCTTGTTTCACCGCAGCTCTTGCTAACGGCTACCGCTGCATTAACCTCATGCGGGTGCTCCTACTGCGGAGAGTGCCGCTCTGCACTGTCGTCGAGCTGCTGCTCCCCCAACTATTACTGTCTACTACACTGATATTTTCGTCTATGCTGTTGCCTGATGTATCACCATCAAACTCAAATGTTTCATTGGGTTTGTTGCGAAGTCTGTTCAAGAGAGCATCGGCAACGTAAGGGTGAACGACACCACAGAGCTTCTTATCCTTTAAGGCATCTTCCAGGGCCTGAGCAATGCAGATACAGAGGCCTATGCTCTGCGCTTTGTGGCCTAGTGGTTCATGCACATAGGGACGAAGGTGTAAAGGCAGTGGAATCTGAGAATTAAGGACAAGGCACTACGCTTAGGAACAAAGAAAAGACAGACAAACAAATGAAGAATGACTGTGCAGAAAAAGGAATAGAGATGTGATGATACCGAAGAAAGAAAAGAAAGAGAAAAGTTAGAGGCAGCATCATGAAGCAATAAAAATCAGGGTCGGACGCCTTCGTGTTTGCAGCAGCTGCACATTTGCTGCATCAGCTGCACAGCGGCTATACTTTGCTCAGGAACTGTTTGGAAAGACTTGCCTGAATGGACCTGATGTAGTTTTGCCTGAGGTGTAGCTTCACCTCTAAGTGCGCGTCTCGAGAGAGCCCGAGGTCCTCTGCCACGCCGTCAACGATGTCGTCAATGGTGCGGCCGTCCGCAGGCTCCTCCTCACGCAGTTGAAAATCTGACATATTCGCTGTCGCTCCTTGTGGCCCGGTGATAGCTGTCGAAGCTGCTCAGAAGCCTGCTGCTGATGCTGTTGCGACTGAACAATTCCACTGTTGTTGGCGCTGCCGAGGGGCAGTCTGTTGTTTGTGTTGGTGGTTTCGCCGGTGTTGCACCGTCGCCTTCTAGTGGAAGTTCCTAAACTTCAGCTAGTTCAGCTGTTTGTGTTGAAGCTGGCACTGTGGTGCAGCCTGTCCTTGTCACTGCAGCTAGTTCTGCTGCATGTGTTGGCGCTACTAATTGTGCAGCAGCCCGTCGATGTCACTGCTACTATTGTTGCGGTGCAGACTGCCGTCGAATAGCAGGGCTTCCAGCATTGAACGGACTCGCGTAGTCCCCGTTTCTTCCTATTGAGCTCTTTATTGAGGCTTAAGGAAGGGGGAGGCATTCAAAATTAGCTGCAGGAACTCCCTACGCTGAAGCAATCAATGCATCTGCGGCCACTATGGATGCGCCAATCGCTGCAACTGCGCGCCAACACGAAGGCGGACTCTATGTAGATGTGGTTGGTCTTCGTGTCTTGAATTTCATTTGTGTGGTGGTTTAAATGTGCAGCAGAGACAGCTGAAGCCGCTGGTGCTGCCAACAGCCTGACCAGTGTCTCGATAGGCTTGTCGTCTTGCCCACTCCTTCCCTTACAACATTACGGCTTCCCTAAAAATTAAGCACAAAAATATGGTTGAATTATACACCAGTTCTTGGGGGTTCAGCAGAGCGGGCAACGAACGAGCCAATTAGGGGACGAGCAGATGTTGCGAAAGAGCTGCTGCTGCTGCTGGCTTCCTCTGCGTCCACTATTTCGGCTGCAAGTCTTCAGCACTACGAACTGCGGAATGTAGCTCAGAATGTCCGCAATTGTTAGAAAAAAAACAGTGATGGGTGAAGTAGAGTGCCACTCTGAAATATGCGTCATGCACACTGTGCAAGGCGTGGCGGTCTGGTTACAAATTTGACTCACAGCCGTCGACGGCGCAGCTTCTACAGCAGCAGCATATACAGTTGCTGCTGGTAAAACTGAAGCACTAAACGATGATACTGAGAAAATGTCTGTCAATTGACAGTTACGGTGTGATCGGAGCAATCACTGATGAGGTACAACGCTGAATGTGCATGTAGAAAGCGGAGAACTTGGTCCCTGAAGCACAGCGGAAGAGCCTAAGCTCGGAAAGAGTAGTGAGGCATATGGCCGTATTTGACAGGAAAATGCACTATTGCTGCTATTTTAAATACGGATTCGGCAAGGATTAAACATTATGCAATAGCGTTATCTGCGGAGAGATTCAATCGCTGCTGAACATCCCACTAGCCTGCACTCAAAGTATTCGAAAAGCTTTATATTTCCTTCCTCTAATAGTCTTATTCTATCCTTGGTGCTTACTTCGAAGGCTTGCGAGCTCCGTAGGAATACGGGGTTAATCACTGCTTTCGATGGACGAACTAGCGCCTGTTGCTGGGCTTTCCAAGAACCTGTCAAACTTCCTTCTACTTCAGCCCTCCTGAAGCGCTATTCATTATAGCACTGCTTTGTACGAATTTCGATTTTTCAGTACAGGCTGAAGACTGGTTTCGCATTGCAGGTGCGGCACAGCACCTTTTAGCGTTCAGGCACGAGGCACGCAGTTGGGTGATGAGGCTTGGCTGCAATAACGCTCCTAACGTCTGGAAGAATTCAAGGCCGGAAATATTGTAAACTTTTCAAACAAACACGTGCAAGTGCACAGCATCTTACTTTCTCCGTGCACCTACATACTACAAGCGTCTCCGCCGGGGCTCTGATGGCTTGACTGAACAATTTGTTAGTCGCTGCAGTACCTTGGGTCACTTCACGGTCAGTGGACACTGCTTACTCAGCTACCTTTTCTCCACGCAGAAGAAAGCATGGTTGTTGTATCTCCGAATGGTGTTTATATGACTAGGCACTGCAAAATCATTGCAACAACGTGCTGTTTCCATTCAGTTTGCTGCAAGAAAACAAACGCTACAGCCGTCTCCATTGCTTGCAAAGACAAGTGTGGCAGACTAAGTGATTATTGAGGACCTAGTGTTAGAAACTGCATGGACCGAACCGTCGAATCGGAACTCTCAACTTATTTGTGCCGAGAAAAGCAAACCAACCGCAGAAGAATCGAATCATACTTATAAGCCATTAAGGAGCATTCTTCCATTCCGAGTGAGCCTCTTGGGACACAATGAAAACAAAACATAGGCAAAGGTCAAGCAAACGCAGGAAACTCATTTCGTTGGTTTTGTGGCTCTGTGCCCTGGTTCGCCTCAGTTGACCCTGCAGCTTTGGCGGTGGGCCTTAAGCAAGCAGTCATATTCTTTTGCTCGAGCACTGTATGTATAAACTAGTTGCTCCTGGTTCTGAGCTTTTCACTGTATCTTTACAAGAGTGGCTTGACATCCACTGAACAAATTTAACGCTTGGGCACTTGGCTTGGAAGTGTCATCTCTGCCACTGACCTTTTGTTCCTTCTTATGCTGTGTTCCCACGCAGCAATTTGCCGTAGAAGCCGCATCACCACCCGAAGAATAGCTGTTTGAAGTGCCATGAATCTTTTTTCCATGCGATTTCAACTAACGCAGATGCACCGCTTAGGAATGCAACTGAATGCTGTTTTTTTTCTTATCGCAAGACCGACGTCAGCTACAGGGTGAATCACACTCTAAAAGCATTCAATCAATTTTTATATGAATATATGGCACGCATATAGTTTCTGGTACTCCTTATTGCCTCCCAACACGCTTTCAATGGACCTTATTGTGAATTTAGTTCATCATTCACACTACTACTTCGGTCTCAGCACTATTGACCTCAGTCTCGAATCCTCAAGAACTAGTTCCCCAATACTGCGACTTCAAGCAACAACCCAACACCATATGCCAGGGCGTCTAGTTTATGTGCATGGAGTTCCTTTCCAATTAGATTTTTTGACTTTCCAAATTACAGGATTGCAGGATTACCTTATGATTTAGCACGCGTAGCTGCGTTTGAGTAATCCTTCCCCATTTTCTCGAAGAAACCCCATCTCAGCAGCTGTAGCGGTTGACAATGTGTCAACCTATACGTAGCGATCTGCTTGCGTTGCTAGTGTTTACTTTCATTCACTGGCCTTCCTACTGTTTCATAAAAGTATCACTCGTCTGCTTTCCAAGACCTGTGTTGGAGATGTCTCAGTTTGCTTGCACTCCTCCACCGTTCCACACCCACACGAGTTTCAAAGCAGCCGATTTAAAAAGGTATTGCCTTCTTTGCAGTATTATAGGCTGCAATATTTCGCCTACCAATCTAGAGATCTTGGAATTAAGCCTTTGGGTTCAAGTTGTGCTGCACACAAAGAAAAATAATATGAGGAGAAGCATGCAAATGTGTCAAAGCATTTCACCCTGTCTCTGAATAGGGCAAAATCATGTCACAAGCTGGTGCACCTTCAATTTTATATTCAGCTCAATCAATAGATAATCATCTTCCCCTCACATTTTTTAAAGCGGTGCATTGATTCATTTTATGGAAGAATTCTTCATACTTCCACTTGCTTTTTGCCTAGACTTTGCTAAGTCTAATGCACACAAATTTTCTTCATGCTTCCTTTTGAAGAACGCATCGTACAAGATGCGATTCAAAAGGACCTTGCAGACAATGCAAAATACAACGAATCGTGCGAATTCAAACAGAAAATCCATTGTAGTAGCACTGATGACTTTGATACGTCGCGGGCAAATCAATTGAATGTGATGTGCTGTAACGGCGCTGAATATCGCTATTGTAATTCAAGTGAGTAGGAAAGGGGCACTAGCCCTACAGACGTGTTTAAGGTGGTTCGCTAGTGTCGCGACACTACCGTCCATTGTATCATAATTGAACGCCCCTACGGCAATTGTCAAGGCAGAAATTTTCCCTTCACCGCTAGCTGTTTGCATGTTTGTTAGTGAGTCGAATGAGACATCTCACGAACACTCCTTTTGCCAGGCTGGAGGCTCTAGTCGTATTTTCCCAGCATTTGGGTGCTAAGTTCAGTGCAAACGACTTCGTCGCGGTACCATCAGTGAAGGAGAAAATGTACTCAAAGGTTCATCTTTGGAACGCCAGATTACGGCTGCTTTTGCAAAGCTGGCGAAATTCCTTGTCAGGAAGTTTCTTTCCTGATTACGATCGTCCTACAATTCACTAAGATTTGATTTGAGCTTAAAAGTTTTCCATATAACTTCAGTGTATATTCTCGGGGGAAGAGTTGTGCTCAATATGGCAGTATTCTGCTAATATGGAGCTTCGCAGTTCACCTTTTATTCAATGAAAGCACGGGAAACATCCTCTATTCAATCCCTTGTGAACGACAGTTTTACACTTCGCTCGAATGCTTTTAAACCGTTAATACATTTTTTGAGATATCAGCTTGCTACTCAAACCTTTTATTCCATTCAGCGATAACATTTCATCGGGCGAGAGCACTCTATTTGCCTGACCTAAAGCCTAGCCGTTCGTGAATAAATCGGCAGTGCGCTTCGGCTTTTCGCAGCATTAAATCTTGGTAAACAGGTTTTTCTCTGGCAGGACGCTCTCTTTTTTATTCTTACTGCGTTGCACAGTTGTTCTGTCGACAGAAACCTTCGCTCTATTCTGAATTTTGTTGGCCTACTCCTCGCATGACCTAATTGCAAAGAACGCGATTCAAATTTGGAAAACCACTCTGAACTAAAAAAATGTAAATATATTTCCTGGCCAGGACGAATTTAAAGTAGTGCTTCGCGTATAAAATAAATTTTATAGGCCCTCGCTGAGGCATTGTGAAAAGTTAGTTGGTCAACTCTTCAGAGTTCCCCTTGCCGAAACGCGCCTTGAAAACCTGCGTATGGCTAGCTTTGTACCAGAAAAACAGCGTTAGTCTTAGAAAAAAAGACCAATGTAACCACATTAATGTGCATTTAATCCGTTAATAATTACTGCTACAATGGCTAGGAGCCTTCT